AATTGAAAAAAAAATTGTTCATTTGACTATTATTGCTGTTAGCGGGCCACTAGTATTCGACCGGCGGCCCGATTGTGCATCTCAGGTCTATAGTAAAATATAGACTATATTTTATAATGACCTTATTGTACGCAGCTAGACACATTTTGCAGGAACTTTCGGTAAATAATATTTGAACGTATACAAACAAATTTAATGACGTTAATACTGGCCGTATATCTTAAATCGTCTGAAAGGTTGGGGTTCAATGTTACAAAACCCACTGGATAAGCTTACGCAGACCTATTTTGATGAAATAAAATGCTATTATTATATAATATCCTTCCTAGCTATATTAGCGTTAGAATGGACATACTATGTTTAAATGCGTTTACTTCAAAGAGAATAGCTATAAAGTCGGCAATCTTTCATACAAATGTCTAAATTCATAGATTATTTAAATAAAACCACTTTAATAGTGTAAAATGCGAAATATATTCGTTAAAGTTATTTAAAAACTATTTTAACTTCTGCCCGTACAGCCGTGGTCACGGGGCCTCCCCGTTTCTTTTCCAGGTATCATATATATCGCGTTTTAAACCATTAACGCGTTTTATTTAAATGTTTACTATTCGCATAAGCTACAGACAGTTATGTATTATTTATATACTTGCGACAAAAAAAGAGCATTTTTCTCCCCGTGACTACGGCTGCAAAGCATCTGAAACGCCGGGCCGTAGTTAAAAATAATTTTCAAACAAGTTCAACTAAAAATATATCGCGTTTTAAACCGTTAAAGTGTTTTATTGAAAATAAGTTTTTGTATTCGTCAATCTAAGGAGTGCCCAAATATTGCATCAGGGCGCTTGATAGTGAAAACTGAATCCCACATTTCCCACGAGCCTATCCTAGCCCAACCCACTTACGTACAATGGAAACACACTTTTCACACTATCTCGTTATGCGTGATCGATCATGAAAGAGTCCCGTTAAGTCTATGGTATCAATTGACTTCCGTTATTGCTTTAGTATCTTTAATCTTTTACTGGTTTTCCCAAAAAAACCTTTATATAGTGCCTTTGTTCTCTATCAACGTTTTTATAGTTTTTTAAACTATTTTTACTAACGTTGTTCTTTTGCATCTTTTGTAAATAAAATAAACGCAATTATAATACATGTATATTTCAAATGTTATGCTTATAACAATTAACAATTGTCAACATAATAGCTAAATATGTACATCAACGGTATGGTACGGTTTTACTCGTGGGATTACGCTACATGTTTCATAATATTATTTCTTCTTAAGTTTAATTCTTACCAATACAAATGATAGCCATATTTTACGTACTTTAGGTGAATTGGCAATATATTTAAAAATACTTCAATATTTTTCAACATGTCTAAATTGCACACAAACAATTTCGGGGGGGCTGCATGTATTAAAAGATTAAAAAATTTGACAATTAGATATGGGAACGTTGCAGATGACGGTTCAAGTCCTGCCCGTGTCGTAATTGTTTTTTCACTCTAAAATCGTAATTTATTTTATTAATATTACTTGTACAAGGTATGCCTCGCTCGACTAAGCTAATACTTCTAGAAATAGAAAAACCGAAATATATTATTTCTATTTTGTGTTAACTCATTGTCGTAACAAAAGATCTTAGCCACTGAAGAAATCTATACTAATATATAAAGTTAAAGAGTTTGTTTGTTTGACCGCGCTTATATCTGGAACTATTGGTTCGAATTGAAAAATTCTTTTAGTGTTGGCTAGAGCATTGCCTACAAGATACCAATTATGTAAAAAAATGATCCTTCTTAAAATAACCTAAAAATTGTTTCCAACAGTAGGATTAGCATAAGATTTACTCATAAGGACCATTTTTATGGTAATCAAATTTAGTAAATAGTACTTTGTATGGAAACGTTTGCAAGCTAGTGACTAATAAAATAGCATATTAAACTACTAGTCCTTGAAAATGAGACCTTATTTCCGATAACTGTACAGATTTTGGAAGCAACGTCATTATTCAGATCGCACTGACGAGGACATCGTTCGGAGTACAAAACGCCGGAAGCACACTTCCGTTTTGATTGCCATAATTTTTTGGAAACGCCAAATTTTTCATAGCCCAGTCCTCAGCGCTAGCGCTTTTGTCATGCAGATCTACCATTGTAATGTGTGTATTAGATTTCATTTTGGGTATATCCTTGATATTCTAGACCTACAGGTGTATCTACAATCATTTTCGTGTCAACTATCAGCTACGAATTTGAACTAATCATTATTGTTTTTCCTTAATCTTTAAAACTACGCAACGAAATTTTGATGCGGTTTTTTTAAATATATAGAGTGATCAAGGGGAATGTTGTTTATATACAAAGTTCAGAGGGCTCGTAGTGTATTAATTACCATTGCACGTGGGCGAAACCGGGCAGGTCGCTAGTTGCCTATAAAGCGTTAACTATTAAAATGTACACATTCGTATATTTTACATTGCTATATATCTGTAAAATACTAAAATAGTCATATATTGATTCTAAATAGGGAAAAATATTAATCCAGTTGGAATATTTTAACTGAATTTTGACACTTAACATTTTACATAGAATTTCTCAAACCGCACTCTTAACGCGGATAAAAACAACTTTTGACATCAGACAATACTCGACTAGCATAGCGTGTACTTTGATGTAGATTTCATTCGATTGTACACTCTGATTGCTTCCGTTAGTATAATTTAAAATACGTGTATAATGATTCCAATTAATTATTATAACTAACGTACGCTTTTACGCGTCTATAGCTGTTAACGGTATCGATGACAAAGTTGAGACCAATTCAAATGTCAATGCCTAACAGTATATTGTATTTTCTATTTTAATAATGCGTATCAAAAACCAGGCAATGAACGACCGCACTACATAATTGGCAAATATTATAATGGGACTGTTACCGAGCGAAACCGTCGAATTAAATGCTATTTTTAAAGCATCCAATTAATTTCATTTATTTACACAATATATATATATATATATATATATGACACGGCACGGCAAAGTTATCGTACATACGATTTTTTAATAAGTAGTAGTGTTCGTTTAAGTTCATTAAAATTTAAATTATATTATAATATTACAATGGAAGCAATGAGTAGATAATTTTGCTTACACCTTGTGTCGTTAAAACTACATATATTATATATGTAAAATCGTATAGGTAACAGACAAACTGTAGGGTTTTGCTGAAAATCAGTGATGTAGTATACTCACGTGCTGCAACTTATGCTGACGTAAGACCTTTTTGGCATAATTTTTCTTCAAATTAATTATTTTATTGTATATACATTTATTTCTACTTCTATTCAATTAATGTAACGGGCAATTGCCGTTTTAATTGTTTATAATAAATAAAAAAAAATACTACTACTACTTATGAATTTACTAAATGAATGCCAAATAAATAAATTATTCTTATTATATGTAAACTCCACTTCGGTAATAAATTGTTACTTAACATGCTTTGCGATCTTGTATCAATCATTGTTCCTCATGTCGAAGGTGTAATAAATTCCACATTTAAAACACAATCATGTACACTTAGGTTTATTTTATACAGCCTTGTTCTCAATTGTCTCATCACATTCATGAGGTGCAACGAACCGATTATTTTACTGACTCTTAGGGCTGTTGTACACGATGTACAAGGGATAGGTTTTCATAGGTTACAATGAAAAACATTAACATTGTTCACATGTTGCACTTGATGGCGTTATATAAATTGAAAAAAAAGGCATTCACAGTGTTCCTTGCTGCTGCTCTAACCAAATGAGCCACTGTGTCAATTGGTCGGACACGGTAGCTCAATTGGTTAAATTTTATTGTTATCTAATGTCATAGTGACACTGATGTATTAGATATATATATATATATACCACTGGAATAAAATTTAAAATTCTATAGTGATGGCTTCTTTAGATATACCCTAACCATATATATATATATATAATATTGCAATCTACCTATCTTGGCTTTGTATGTACGGAAATTTTACATTTCCATATCTTAAAAGCGTTATAAGATTGTAGTCTAATAAACTACTAATTGTATGCATATTCCATACTTTAGTAACATAATAATTATAAATAAATTTTCGTATGCAGAATCGAAGTTTTCACAAGTTTAGTTACTATTTAAAGTTTTAATTATTTATGTGTCAATATACTTCGTACATATTATATACACTTGACAGTAAGGTTATAGACATAAGTAAACTCAGTATATTTATTTACATCACGCTATCAAGATAGCATAAGCATATTGACTCACATTTATCACTTTACATACAATCACAATACCTAAACATAAAAATAGATTTGTTTGTTGTTGTTTGTTCAGTATACTGAAGTGTTTTTCAAACTAACTTTATTTAACTTTTATTCTAGGTATTATATATGGTTCAGAAGCATCGAAAATCATGAAAAAACACAGATAAATAAAAAGTACAAGCAAATTACCCATACTATTTTAAAGAACTGAAATATTGCTTATTATATTTAGCACAAACGCTTTTACAAAGGGTTTTCGAGTTATTCGACTGTCATAGATAACGTATATCGGTTTAAAATGCGAAATTTATTAAAGAAATAAATAATGATGCAAGGTATCGAAAACGTGGGGTGGTAATTAAAATCAATTAAAAAAAAACGTAATTTTGCGTTTTTAACATATAAATATGTTTCATTGAAATGCGTATTACTCGTGTAGATTTTAGACAAAATACACTATTGTTAAGACCATTACAAAATGGCCGCGAAAGCCTTATATAATTTATTAAGACAATTTTTAAGATTTTGTATTGTCCATGTCTATTATTTATTTATATAGATTTTGTTTTTATTAATAGGTTGAGTATGAATCACTAGTTAATATAAAGATATATATAATGTATACAATGTGAACAGGTGACCACATGGTTGGTCGGTGACCCGAAAGATCTGAAGATCGGCAAGAAGATGAAGCCACGAGGACTGAGCGTCATGCACGCCTTCTCCGCTCTTACTATGCTCACTATGGCTAATGGTAAGTTTCATATGCCCCAATGCTGGGCAAAAGTCTTCTTTCATTCTGGGACTATATAAATTGCATTCCATTAGATTAACATTGAATTTGGATGTAAAAAATACGACACGAGCAGGACCTAAACCGAACTGATTGAGCTACCGTGTCCTACACGTTATCGTCGAATTGCAACCTATTGATACATGCACCTCGCCGCACCTTTGCCATCTTTGCTGCTAGACCAAGGGTGCCCCTAAAGGGGGCATCGACCTCGGCTTGGATCACCGCAATCTTGAGGATCTCATCTGAGTGATGGGGTTCGCGAAAATAAAGATGCATCGGTGTCGTTATTGCATTCTTAGTCAATAACTTACATCTATGAACCGAATTGAATCGATTGACAAATGTAATCTCATTTTTTATAAATACGCAATACGAGTAGTTATAAGGTTGGTGTCAATTTTAACATCGAGAACATAATTATGTTATGTTTTACGCGGAATTTTGGTAATAAGAAATAATAATTCTTGAATATTTAATATGAAACTATATTAATAATTGATATACATTAACACTTAAATTACAAGTAATACTTTGTATTTCTAATTTCATTATCTGTGATTCAGACAAAATAACAAAGAAAAACATATTATGAAGAAGAGATTTGATCGTATTATTTTTGTTTTCAGCTCAAACCACGTGCAACCAGGGTATGGGCCGAGTCATGTACGAAAGACTACCCAATCAACAGCTGCATGGCTTTGACGACGATGTTGTACGTATTAAATTTTAATACAAATTTAACAGGAATAAAAAAAATATTACTTCTGTGGTTTCAATGTTAAACGCAATTACTTTGTATTGAATGCGATATATACTGGATTCGAACCTCGAACAATGCAGTTCAACAAAAAACATATATTTGACGTTTTTAAGTGTTTATTATAATATGATTTAAATATTTCAAAACTTTTCTATTTTGACATGTTCTGGTTCATGACATATTAAAAATTGATTTTTGGTTCAAAAGAAATTTATGACTTGAACCAATTGAGCTACTGTGACACTGTAGCTCAATTGGTTAGCGCACGGAACGCTATGGATGCTTTTTACAATCTAAAATCGCTTATTTATTTGTAATATTCTTATGACTGTATTGTATTGTATTGCATCACGTGCTTATTCAGTGATTGCATCTTTGTTTATTTATTTTCTCAAATAACTTAGAAACATGATTGCTGTGTTAACAAATGTATTAAAGTATATTTTGTGTTATAAAATGTAGTGAATATTACATGTGTGAAAAGTAATTGTTTCAAGTAGTATTTTTCAATGATTGGGAATGTGTTACCTTCCCAATACATTATTAGTCTTAAATACTGTCTATAGTTTACGCGAGTAGTACACATTTAAATAAAACACTTTAACGGTTTAAAACGCGATATATTAGTTAAACTTATTTGAAAATGATTTTTAACTTCGGCCTGACGTTTCGGATACCTTGCAGGAGCCGTGGTAAACCGTTAAAGTGTTTTATTTAAATTATTAGTCTTATTTAAAATACAATTCAAAAGGCATACTTCATTGTCTCGATCCTTTACTCTTTAGATTCGCGAAACAGCACCACCATTTCGAGTACTGGAGAAATGCCAGGATCTATGCCTTCGCGATCGATCTGGTAACGGCCTGGTCCGGACCTGCAACTCTATAGATTTTCAACCTGGTGCAAGGATTGCTGCATTCAGTCCTGAACCGGAGTACGAAGAGTCTACGTGCTATCTTACAAGAGAGCAAGCTGCCCCAGAAGGAATTGGAACGCTTATGATTGTCCCTAATAGTGTGCATTTTAACGAGATCTGCTTATCGTGTAAGTAAAGATTTCTTGAGATACAGGAAGAGATCCGAGGTTTACTTGATGCCAGATGAAATACTCCAGCCATATAACATGTAAACAAGATACGCTGTCGAACTATTTCGGCTATGGATGGGACTTCTGTGCCCTGCCTGGTAAAAACAATATAATGTTGCCCCAGAATTCGAGCCCTGGACCTCTCGCGCTTAAAGCAAGGCTAGGCAACTTATTTAACCATTTAGCTACTGTGGCAATCCGGAACTTAAATATCCTTACTACTATTGAAGTAATAGTGAATTTAGAAAACATATTTTAGATTTTGTTTCGAATTTTAGAAGTACATTTGATAAGTATGAGTGAAATAATCTAGATTAGTCAGATGTCCTAGATTTGAAGTGGAGATTAAACGATAAATGGTATATTTACGGGATTTTAGGTATACATATTTTTCTCGGTCGTGATTTAATCTTAAGTTACAGCGAAACGGTTACGATACGCGTTAAGTATATAGCGATAAACAAAATATGAATCGTGAATGTTAGCAAAATATTATTGTTATAATGGTTTTAATTACTTTGCTTCCAAAATTTGTTACTTGAAAAACAAAATCTCTCGTTAATTTGCAGTATAAGTTTAATGTTATCTAAACACAAAGAATCAACATATTTTGTTGTATGCTATCTTTTTGTAAGCGCCGTTTTTTCACTTCGACATTTATTTTATAAAACAAGACAATTGTTCTTAATTTAGTGCGCTTCGTTAAGGGAGTGATTAAAATTAAATTAATTTATAATTTTCGAGGTTCTTTCGAGAACTTCTTCTACTTTCGAGACTTCTGGGTTCTTATATAATTTGTCCTCTATGTTGACGATAACATTATGTCACTTATTATTTTAGAATTGTCCCCCAGTTGTTATACGCAGTATATAATATCTGTTTGTTAACATTAATAGAAATGTAAACAATAGATTAGAAGTTATTAAAAACTATTTTGACTCCGTAGCTCAATTGGTCAGAGCTACAACATGTGAATGGCGGTTCAAGTCTCACCCGTGTCGTAATTTTTTATGGTAGGCGTGAACTGACAAGCATAGAGTTCACTTGATCATGGTAAAATATCCCAGCCATAAACATCTAAACAAGATGTGCTGTCGATCTATTTTTGGTGTGGAAAGAAAAAGGAATTACATTTTCAATTGAACTCTTCTTATTATTTTAGCTAATCGTCCTGAGCGGGAATGTCCATCACGCCGCTACGTTTTCGAGCGCCACGCTCGTAAACGCCTGAAACTACCTTCGTCCGATTTAAAAGATATCATGGTCGCGAACCGAACAGAATGCGAGGATAAGTGCCTGGGTGAATTCAGCTTCGTATGCCGTTCTGCAACGTATGATTCAGCGCTGAGAACGTGTTCCCTGAGTAGGTTCACGAGAAGGACCCATCCGGAGTTATTGGAAGATGATCACAACGCTGATTATTTGGAAAACACCTGCTTGAATGGTAAGAAAAAAAAAATCTAGTAAATAAAAAAGTCCACGGATAGGCCCACGCCATCAAATAGCCGTAGATTACCTCATGTACCGAGTTCGGCAAAAACCACCAATGGCTTCTAATGCATTAAACGTACACGTTAATTACAAGTAATGTATGAGTCGTCTTTAAATTTATTTTCTCAATTCTAGCGGTGAACATATACTTCTAAAATGGCCTAAGTCGGTCAGTTACTAGCCCGGCTAACACTTATTAATGAAATTGTCTGATAAATAATTGTTATAATTTGGCATGTTGTATTTTAGAGGAATATGACATGGCATGGGTTTCGTTCCTTTTTTAACTCTTTTTTAAAAACAATTTAGGTTACAACTGATAAATATATTGATTTCCACAGCTGAAAGGCGGTGTGATGGTTTGGCAGTGTTCATCAAGGAAGAAAACAAACGTCTCGGAGGTCCATTTGAGGCTGATGTGTTTTCCAACATGACCCTCGACGAGTGCCAATCAATGTGTGTCCGAGCGGAAAAGTAAGTCATATTTTCCGAATCAGACTTAATCGTCAATTCAATCTGTACTTAGTAGTGTTTGACGAACTCATTGGTAAGTATATATAAATAATAATTAACGGGTCGTGTGTTTGATTACCTAGGTTGGGATAGATCTCCTGGGTTCAACAAACAGTCTCAGGACGATAGATGCCTGCCTTATGCAGGGTAAACAATTTATCAATTTTATTTTCCGGCGTTATTTTTAGATGTCCTAAATTATCTGCAAAATGTTTTTTTTTATTTTATTCCGTACAGTAGTAGTAGCCATTTTGTCCTTTTCAGATATTTCTGCCGTTCCATCGAGCATGACGAGGCAACAAGACAATGCGTTCTTTCAGAAGAGGACTCTGTATCACAGAAAGATGACGTCACCATAAGTGCATCACCAACACATCATTTTTATGACCTTGTCTGTCTTGATAATCGTAAGTATATAGTTTATTATGCACACATAAAAGAAAATCGTATCTGTATTACATAAACATAACTATCAGGGAAAGTCAGAAGAGTTTTATTATAACTTTATGATTATTTTTCTTTTATTCATTTTGGTCATTGGTTTTTGCTCAAGAGAAAATAATGTTAAGTTTTCATATCTCTATAATTTTAAACAAGAAATACATATATAATTAATATAGCCTGAAAAGCTAGATTTATATATTTAACATAAATAAAAGAGAAACAGCAATTGTTACTATATCGCTTATGCGCCATTCTTAAAAAAACATATTAAAACCCAATGACATTAGGTGTAAAAGATTTTTTTAGTAAATATTATGATTTCCCTTCAATCTAATTATAGTTAAACCGCTTGAAAGTACGTATCTTAAAGCATAAAAGATTTTCTACTGTCATATAAAGAGGCAGATAAACAACTTACCTGTCTTCTAATATAATGCACCTACGCTCTGGAGTCAAATTATTATTGGGAATAGCGTTGCGTTAAGCGCGACAGGACCTGGATTTGAATTCCAGGGAAACAATTAATTGCGTCGGTCGCGCAGGGTACAGAAGTCTGATCAACTAGCCTGTAAAAGAAGCGACAAGCGAATCAGTGAAACTGGCGCAGAAATAAGTTCGCCCCAACCCAAGGCTTTAACTTACACTCAAATCATAAGAAGAGTTGGCTGGGCATGAGCACCTGGATAATGGATTAAAATATGCTAAACTTTTTTATTAATTCAAATTGCGCCCATATTTGTGTTCTTATGCTACGCATATGTTATTGCTTTTAGTAATGTCATACATAGTTTTGAATTTAATAGTCGTAGAACAAATAGAAGGCGTACGTTATTTGTGATCAAGTGTACACCACAGTACATAAAGGTATGAAGCCACAATAAGGGTTCTCTCCAATTGATCAGTCTCTCACCGGGTGACAGCTCGCGGGACCGAGTACCCGGACAACAGTGCCACGTCCCACCTCTTCGCCCCGGGCCGTCGACCCGACACAGCTTTCCAGCGTTACCGGAACAGCCGAATCACCGGGGAGTTCCACTCGGAGATCACGAGCCGTTCCCTTAGCGAGTGTTTGGACGAGTGCTTGCGGCAGTCCAGCTTTCAATGCAGGTTCGTATCATCCCTTAGGATTGAAGCCAAGTCAAAAACGAACAGTGTTTTCCAAACCTTTTGGCCGGGCTGAAGTAAGCGCGGATGGTTGCGCAGAACGCAAAAAGCAAACAGTTGCGGCAAGGCAGTGCGCGGGTGCGGGGGGAGTCGATGTTTGTCTAAAAATTTACAGTACCATGCGCAAGATGGCGGTCGCGCTAACTTCAGCCCGTCCAAAAAGTTTGGAGAGAACTGTAGGTAAATAGGTACGCTTATGAACGTTAAAAAACTAAAGAATCTAACTTTACATTTACAAGTTCTCAAATCAAGGGCGTAGAATGAAACAAGAAGAATTGGCAATGAACCTGTAGCTTACGCTTGTAATACTAAATAATACTAAATATGTAGATAGATTTAATCATAGTTTTTAAAATATCCATGTTTGTAAATTTGCAGTTAGGTACTTTGTGGTGACCTAAGTAGTAAGATTATAGTCCATTAAATAAAGGTAAAAAAACTAACAGGCTTGATTCGAAAGAGATTTTTAAGTTATTAATACTACTCTGAAATTCATACTGGGTCGAATTACGACTAAAATCAACTCATTTGTTCTTTTGGGGACGAAACATAAAAAAAACAGATCTGGCTTCACTGCTATATGGTTGGGGTATTTCTCCTCCCATCAAAGACTAGTGACCCCCCATACCTGTCTGTCTAAAAATAAAAAAGGTAAAGAGAAGTATTTTTTTTATATTACTTTTGGGCTTAGTCATACAGAAAAAGTATTCTGATTCATTACAGCGTATTGATTAAATGTTCAAAACAAACTACGTAAATAGTATTTTTGTGTCATTCTCGTGTGCGCGAACGCAATATGATATCGAAAGTTCAGTGGACGATATTGTTATAACAGGATTTATGGACACAAGTGTTTTTTGATACGCAAAGAAGGCGAAAAACCTAGATAGTTGCAATTAAATCGCTTGAGCTATGTATGTGTTTATACTGGGGGATAGATCCCCTTTTTCATAGGAGAGCGATGTAGGAGCTTAGACCCACTACTCTATTACGGTTTAGCGGGTTTAACGACTATTTTACCTAAGTAATGTCAAAAAAATTCCCGAAACTACCAGACAGACATCCTTTCCTAGTAAATACTACAACGTACAAATGTCTCACCCAACGCGTGCTTGAATGCGGGACCGCGAGATCTGCCGTCAAGTTTACTAAATACAAGAACGACCGAATAATTATTACATAATACAAAATATTTACTTATGTTTTATATAACAACACGGTAAAAATACATTTTGTACTATGGACGTTTATATCAGACGAAATCTTGTTAGCGATTCAATATAATCTCCAAGATAGGCAACACGTGTACACAAATACCTCAATCAAAAAGATAACCTCCTATTCTTTTTAAAAATCGGTAGAACGGATAAGATTAAAGAAAGAGTAAATATTTTCGTAAAATGTATTCATGACGTAAAGTTGATGATAGTGACTTAAAACATATTTTGAGTTGTTACAGAATTAGTGTCCACTTGAGCTTTTTTATCTGTGCTAATTTTAAAAAAGAAATCACGAACAAGTCTTCGACATCTTTGTCGTTCCTGTATATATTTAATATTTATAAATAAAATTAGTTCTTTTTGATAACATAAACGAGAACAACTGATTTTACACACAAGACAATCTAGGACGAAGATACCGTTCACGAACCACCGTTCACCGTTCGTGGTCTGTGAATGAATGACTATACAAAGCTATAATAGGTTGACAGGGAAGTCTTGTGAAGGTGTTATATGATTTTTTGTCTGTCCTCCTATTATATACAAAAACTTTTGTTAAAATTAGGTCAGCGGTGTACAGTGACCGCGCAAGGACCTGCCGCCTCAGTAGATACAATCAGAAAGATGGCATGCGTCTTCTCTACGATCCGGACTTCGACTTCTACGAGAATTTGATGCGTAAGTTCTTATACCACATTTTAACATAATTTGCAATTTTGGAAGGTTTATTTGTTTCATGTTGCAAAACTATTGATAAAAGAAAAGCATAGTCGTTTTGCTATATTGTGTACAGTTTTGAGCCAGAAGTCTTAGAAAAAATCTTGATAGTTGTTTTTTAGACCTTTCCTTTTAGTTTGTCGGATTGTATTATATAAAAGGACGCATTTATTTGAAGAGGTTATTTGACAATATAGCGTTAATTACTGTTGTCCGTATTTAGTAGATATAGTTTAGAAATAGTCACATACGTTTAAAATAATAATTGATTTAATAAAAAATAACTCTTTTAACATTTCTCACGTGTCCAGATTGGTCGAGTTTACCACGTCACTTGCTTATAATCAGTGCTATAAACCACCTTGAGTAAAGACTGTTCTATTCTCTGCATTAATTTGTAATTCGTTTAACTATTTCAATCACTGTTATAATAAAATTTTTGGGATCAAATGCATATAGATTGTAGATCATAATATGATTGAAAAACACCAATGGCGAATACAAAGTTGGGACGTCACTAGCCGTACGTACTGTAACGGTGTTTCGCAAAATTAACGATTAGGCGCGCAATTGAAATGTTGGATTTTGTATTTGACATTATTTGGAAAATATGTATCACAAATCAAAAAAGTTACTTTTCCGGAGTTCCTTTATGTCTACCAAATAATAAAAAGTACATTTCGCACGCTTAGTATTACAGTGACCGAATTAAAAAAAAAAACACTTTTTTGGCAAATCGTATAAAACTATGATGATGGCGTTATTATAGTAATGTCAGTGCATTTATCTAATTTTACTTAAATTTTGAGTTAGGTCACTCTAATACTAAGCGTGCGCTTTTAAAAATCAGTCAGATAGTACCTACTTACCAGTATCAATAAAAATGAGATCGCTGCAAATTGATGTTAGTGGGCAATTGATGCTCGTGGCCTCATGTGGCATTGATCTCTTGTGCTGAAAATAGATCTAGCTACCTAGACTATACCTCGTTCCAAATGAATTTGTTAAAAAGTGAAGAGACATGTAGACCTTTGTATAGTCATGTTCATGGCAATTAATGTGATAAAAGCATCGATTTTGTTTATTTCCACAAATTCATAAAAAAAGTTGCTGTTATCATTACTCCGAGTATAATATATTGATTATCGAGTTTCACATATTATTAAACATTTCAATATAAATCGATTATATGTATACACACTGTCTTTCCACAGATAATGTTCATGGAACTATAACGATGACAGACATTTTTGAGGTTTCAATTTTTTTTTAAAGTTGCGAAACAATTAAAATTATTTGTTATTGTACAATCGTGTGTTTTTGGTGATCAATGTTTGTTTACATTTTCTACACATTTAGTTGGAACAGAGTACCTATAACCATAGTCTGTAGTTGTCATAGTCTGTAGTATACATTTGAAACGTTTAATGATTTATAACGCGAAATATGTTACTTGACTTATTCTTAATCAATTTTAACAACGACCCGTCGTTTTGAACGCTTTGTAGCAACCCTGGCCACGGAGTTATTGTCAGTAGGAACAAATAAAAATAAGTTAAATAATTTATTTTGCGTTTTATACGGTTAAAAGTGTTTTATTCAAAATATTTTTGACATATTGCGAAGACTGATAACTATTGCTCGAGGAAAAGGATTGAGAAAATTCTATAACTACGGATGGCTCGCGTTAGTCCAATTGGTAAAGCTACGCAAGCCCTGGATTCGAGTCTCACTTGTGTCTAATTTATTTTTCAGTATAAAAATGATTAAAACTATAAAATACACAGCAAACAATTATTTTTAAGTTTACCTTCTAACCTATTAAGTAAGGGCATATGACTTTTAATATATTATATCAATTCGGGGTCTAGATCAATTAGTAAGTGGTGAAAATGAGGTCTCCAGCGGCGGATCACAGTCGTCGTGGGGAAAGCCAAATAAATCAGGTTCGATGCATGACAGGGCATTTGTAGTTTTCGACAGAAAAATGCATTTGTAGATTTACAATTGTAATGTTATAGCCGTTTTAGTTATTATTGCTTGTCGTATTATTAATTTTGTAATATTTAATAGATGCATGTTTTGTTTCTAGGTACGTATGTTAATATTATTCTCTTTTGTAGATTGATCTTTCTAATTGTGTGTCGTTCGTTAATAGCTAAGAACCGAAACAAATTGATAAAACGATTCGGTTCTTTTGATCCGTTCAAACGTATACTAATCAATAAAAATAGGTAAAAAAACTTTTTAAGTTAAATGTTAAACATACATTGCAATGTTTAAGATAAATGTATTAAAAACCAAAAATAATAAAATAGATACAGTCGTGGGAATTATAAACATATGCCATATATATATATGGCATATGTTTATAATATAGACTAGACTAAAATAAAACCGTGGGGCACGTCAATTGTTGGGATTGATAAACCTACGTTATCCGCCATTTTGTAGCGGCCGCCATCTTGGATTTATAATGATAATGAATAAATATAATTGTATTGTCACCAAAATTCAAAGTGTATATAAAATTTCAGGTTGACAGGAAGAGGGTGAAATTTAAATTACTAAATTTGACCCAAGAATAGATAATAAATAAAACAAACGGGGTGAATGCTAATAAAACCATTTAATAATATAGACTACTGTTTGATTTCAGAGATATTGCATCTCGCTAATATGATGTTTTGGTCATACGCGAACGACACATATGTTTTTCTTTCGGTCTTCCCAACATTTTGGTGGATAGGTTGTAAAAGATGTATTTGTGTACCGTACGTTAGTATAATTTGTAAATCATTAGGATGTTTGCTTTATCGTGTATAATAGAAGTTTGTATAAGGCATGTTTTATATTACGCTGGTTTACAGGCTGTCTTATAATGCATATTGTAGACATGTTGTTGAATCGTTGTTAATGTATGTGTGTATTTTTATTAATGTAGATTGTATGCATGTTTTATCTTAGTTGGCTTGGTTAATTGCACAACATTGTTAATCGTTAATACAATTACATAGTTGTATAACTAATATATTATTTTCATTTTCAAGGTGGTAGTAACAGCGATAGAGACAGGGATCGAGATAAATATCCCCCGGGTGTAGATCGTTACCCTGATGATGACAGATACGATGATGATCGATACTACAGCCGTCCGGATCGTTACCCACCTGATGATCGGTACCCCGGTCCCGAGTATCCGGAGAGATATCCAGAAGACAGATATCCGGATGACAGATACCCACCCGGTGTCGGACCTGATAGATATCCGCCACCTGTAGATAGATACCCACCACCTTCTGATAGATATCCTGTTGGTGATAGGTACCCAGTGGATAGATATCCATCATCCGATCGCTATCCAATTGCACCTGTACCTGACCGTTTCCCTACATCAGACAGATATCCACCACCATCCGATCGATATCCTCCAGGTGTTGACCGGTATCCCAATAGAATCCCTGTAGATAGATATCCTGGTGGTAGATACCCAATTGATGGTGAACGGTACCCAATCGATAACGAAATAGGGAGATACCCAGTTGATCGATATCCAATCAACCGGTACCCAGTCGATGAGTACCCCGATCGGTATCCACAAGACAGATACCCGATACGAGGACCTGGTAGATATCGACCAGGCTATCCTAGATATCCTGACAGATACGACCAGGACCGCTACCCCGGTAACGATTACCGCTATCCGTATAGCAGATACCCGGTTGGTGTGAATCGGGATCCGTTACCTTTAGGTGGTGATAGATACCCGGATATGTACGACAAATATCCACCGAACGGATCGTCATATCCTGGTAAGATACTAACACTAAGTAAATGTTAATAATATTTCTCCAATAACAGTTGTTATAATATATGTGAATATATATAGTGTATGTTTATTTCATAATCTTTACTATACTTTTTGATACGACTTTTCTTTGTGCCATCCACTGTTAAAATTAGCTTTCTTATTTACATTTTAACTAGCATTTGTATCTTGGTGAAATACCACGTTAATAATTCCATCTCACAATAATCTGTCTAAAAGCAGGATATGGACGTGGTGGTTATTATGGTGGTGACCGATTTCCAACTTCCGATCGCTATCCTACATCTGATCGGTACCCACCACCTGAAAGGTATCCAACTGCTGATAGATATCCAGACACAGCTATAAGGCCGGCGCCAGATCGGTAAGGAGGAAATGAGAGTTATTACGCATTGAATAATATATTTTTAACCGGTATATTAAGTGATAAAATAATATGGCTCGTGTTTATAAGTAACTTTCGGTTGGTCATATAGTTTTACATATTAATTTTCTATTTTTTTTAATATTATTTGTATGTCATTCATATTCTGATGTCTGTTAGCATTCCCGTTGAACCGAGACCTACGTTTGGATTACGACGGCCTATTGAGAGACCTGGGGGCTACAGAGGAAATTATGCTCCGCCGTTAGAGAGACCTATAGGTATTATTTGTTAAGAACTAAAACTTTCCTCGAACTTTTCAATACTCTACTTATGAGTTTCTTTGGTAGAGGAGGACAGATAAGCTTGCGGTTCCCTTTATGTTAGGTATAATACCCCAGCCATATAACATCGAAACAAGATGTGCTATCGACCTATTTTTAGTAACTAACTAACTTCACGGCTTTTTAATATGTGGACGGTGCTCCGTGAGCCGAACGTTATTTCAATATTTCTACCATCTCTATATTCAGATTTAAAGACAAATTCCAACATGTTTCAGAAAAAATATAAATTAATTAGAAACACGTTGGACCTGATGGGGATTGGGATAACAACCTCTTTGCTTGTTAGCCATACATCCATTTCACCAACGAGCCCTTAGGTTTTTGATCTATTTGAAATTTGATCCAAAAAACTTATTGTTCTGGCAATCCCGAGTCTGCAGCGCTCTCATTTTTCACTGGTAATAAGTCCCTATCATTACTTAGGTGGTGGTGGCTATGGAGGCTACGAACCAGATGGTCCCATACCACCAGCAGGAGCACCTTTACCAATTGGTCCCATCGGTCACGCACCAATCGGTGGGCCGGTGGGAGGTCCTGTTCGTCCACCAACTGGACAAAGACCCTGGCAAGGATCTCGCTGCGAGGACGACAGTTTTCGACAAGTCGGTAGACAGCGGATGCAAAGGAGATTCGTGAGGCGTTTTACAACTGCGCAATCTTTGGCACACTGCCAGCGAGAGTGTATCGAGGCGAGGGACTTTGTGTGCCGGTCGTTCAACTATCGGTTTGTAAACATATGTTACGTGAACTGATAACATAGTGGTATTAGATAATTTCGAATGGATATGTAACCTTGGGGTAAATTTTACAGTTATCTAAACTAGCAGTGCCCGCGACTGCTGTTCGCGTGAAATAGTTATTATAGCATCATTATATTATTTACTAGCTGAATCAGCAACTTCGTACACGTTAAATTTAAATCGTCATGACCATCTATCTGGATTTAAAAAAAAACAGTGACTTGACACAACACGTTCAACACGAACTACAACTAAGTACATATACTTAGTTGTAGTTCTCAAGTTATTACATATAATATGCTTATAAATTTACCCATTTTCGTAGGTTAAATTCTAAGTATAAAAGATGATGTACCATTAAACATAACCTGGAAATCTCTTCTCTCCTATTTAAAGGAGAATTATAAATATTTAACTTTTATTCTCTATGTTTCAGGGAAGTAGGCTTCGGTTTGGAACCGCGAGACAACTGCGAGCTAAGTGACAGGGACACTCGCGAGCTGGACGCAGCTAACCCAGCACACTTCGACAACACAGCTAACGAGTATGACTTCTACGAGCGTGCCCTGGGACGCATCGCAGATGACTGTTTGGATGGTAACATGTTTAAGCCGACTGTCTGTAGTTTTCGCGAGTAGTACACATTTAAATACTTTAACGGTTTAATACGCGATATATATTAGTTCAACTTATTTGAAAATCTCCCCGTGACCACGGCTGCTGCAAAGCATCCGAAAAGTCGGGCCGTAGTTAAAAAATATTTCAAATTAAATAAAACACTTTAACGGTTTATATCGCGTTTTAAACCCTTAAAGTGTATTATTTATATGTGTACTACTCGCGTAAACTATAGACAGTATTTATTTCAAATTAGTTTAACTAATATACATCGCGTTTTAAATAACGAGCTTATATAAATTAATAATTTTAAACCGAAAAAAATATCACAGGGGCGGTATTCGAACTCAGGACTATAGTCGTGATTCTCTACAATTAAAATGTAGCGTAACTAAGATTACGCTTAACTTGGAAGCTCGACTAAAAATATGAGAAAGTTTTTTGTTATTTCGAACTAATGATTTTAATTGACGTATTGTTTCTTATTATGTAATAAATAAATTGATTAAAACACGTATTTGATTGCACGCACAATGGCACAATATTAACGACTAGATGTGTCAGCGACTTCGTCCGCGTAGTACAGTTTACATCAACATTTGTTTTTGCAATTCTCCTCCTCATCTTTATAAATTTCAGCTGTTATTCACTACGCCGTTGTTGCAGGTTAATCTAAAAAGATAGACATATCGTGCTGCGAACATTTTTTTAGATAATTTAAAGAGGAATCCATCTTTCATACATATTTTTCGGGTATCTTGAACCGTTTTCGCAGCGTACGCAACGGAAACCCAGGATGATGAATAATTTTCCCCGTTTTGTTCACATTTCCCGCTGTTTCCTCGATCCTATATGTCACAGCGCAATCTTTTATAGTCTATAGCCTATTTCTCGACACTAAAAATTCGAACCAGTAATTCCTGAGATCAGCGCGTTCAAACAGACAAAGCCTTCAGCTTTATTAGTATATAGATAGATGTACTCGCCTAATAGTACTTAAATACTGAAGTATTTTATTTTTATGACATAAGTTGTTCAGGAAAACAAAGGCTACTTAAAATGTTTTATGTTTTCCTTGTACACGTTTCACGTAATGACATAAGAGGCAAAGTATGATAGTATCGTAATGGTTGTGTAGCACATTTACTTATCATTATTTGTATGATTTATTTACCTTTGTGTGCAAAATTTATTTGCAACACCTTATGGTACACTATGTTTAGCAAAAAAAGTATAACGTTATTTAGAAATAAAACATTTTCAATAATATTATTCACGTTTAACACTTGTATCTAATTTAAATTCCCTTAAGTATTGTCTGCCGGTCCGGTAGTATTGGAAGTCTGGGGGAGGCCTATGTCCAGCATGTACCTACGCTAAGTTGTGTAAATATTTAAATGAAACACTTTAACGATTTAAAATTGACGTTTTGAAAAATTAATTTAGGTTACTTATAAATGATTAATAGGTCAACTAATGTGTTTTTTGTTTAAAACCGTTAAAATGGTTTTTATCATTCTTCTTCTATTGCATTTGATAGAGACGAGGTAGAGTCGTTGTTAGTGGGTTTCACTATTTTTCTTGATCAGAATAATAAACTATTTACGGCCAAATCTTGTCACGTTTTAATCCGTTATATTTTTTTTCTGTTCATTAGTTTCACAAGTCTGCAATGAAGATGGCATGGAGTTCACATTGCGTTTGCCCGAGGGTTTCTATGGGCGGATGTATACATACGGTTTCTACGACCGCTGCTTCTTCAGGGGAAACGGCGGCGTTCAAAATGTACTGCGCATTTCCGGCGCGCACGGATATCCCGAGTGCGGCACGCAACGGGTACGTACGGTCTACAGTTTACGCTCGAGTTATGTTTTTCTCTAAACCACCATTATAACCAAATGGTTAAACGTATTTCCCAACATTTGCGTTACGTCTCGGGTCTCAAATCTCAACGAAAAAAATTGTTTCGGTTAGGCAGGGCACAGTCTGATCAACTACTTGCCTGTAAAAGAACCGATCAGTGAAACGGACACAGAAATATGTTCGCCCCACGGGGCGGAAACGGGATACTACTACGTTTTTCGCTCTCCATTCTAGGTATCTATTTAAAAATAACTCTGTCATATACTTAACATTTATTTTTTACGAGTATTATATACTATCTGTAAATATCACAAACTGTAACACGGCCTCCAGCTCAAATACGGTTAAAAATCTATTGAAAAAAATATTATATTCCAGTCTGGATATCGTCGGGTTCCAAAGTTAGTTCATACTGCTACCCAAGGGTGTCCAGCTAATTTTTTTAACCTGATTTCGTAATGTAAAACTAAATGTCTTATATCTGAGCCGTGTATATAGTAGTAAGGTATGACTGACTTGTGACATCAATACTATGAATATATTTTAATACCTCTATTATTTAGAAAAACATCGTATTGAATCGGGAATATTTTGGTACAAAATAGTTAAAAATATGTGTCTACACCAGACAAGGGTGGTGATTAATCCATGTAGTAGGATCCCAGCTGTGGGGACTGTTAAAAGGATGACGAATTATCCGGCTCATTAGTGATGGTAGCAATGTATAGCTAATATTCAACGATTCGCTTCTATCCCCACCGGTCCAACAACAATATTACATGATTCCAATATGATTAGAATCAATTTATAAATTTCTAGAACATGTTGGATTTTCATCTAGAAATTTGAATTCTAAATGGCTGGTAGGAATATCGAAATTCCGTCCAGATCACGATCGACAGATGTAAAATTCGTAATAGTATTCGTATAAGTTTAATCGCGGGTTGGTTATAATCTGTGGTATTCAGAATATCCAAAGCCAAAAATATCGTGTTATATGGCTGGGATGTTCCCCATCCATCAAAAGAACTTCATGCTTGTATATATTAGATCCTGTTTGATGTGAAAATAATAAATTAATTATTGTTATAGCCAAGATGATCATGCCTCTTAAAAAATAACACCTTTGCTATTTTCAGTATGGCGATACAATGACAAACATCGTAGTGGTTCAGTTCAGCGATAATGTGCAAACATCCCGGGATAAACGGTTCAACCTTACCTGTCTCTTCCGTGGTCCAGCTGAAGCAGTTGTTACGTCCAACTATATTGGAGCAGGGTGAGGATAAAGATGGGATTAAGCCTTCCCATTAAGGCGTAACATATTTTATTGCGAGATCTCTTGGAACCAAATTTGACAGAATACGCTGCCGCTTCTAACTTAAAACTTATAACTACTCAAAATAAATATAATTGATATTAGACACTAAAATACGTTACGCACATAGCTATTTACTTAACATTTTTAATTAAGCGTAATTAAATAAAAGATTTAACTAAGCTATTAAACGCTGTGTTCTGCTAATTATAGATATAATTAACCTTTGAAGCGTGAATAACCAGTGTTTTGTTTTAAGGGCCTCTTTTGGATTGTGTTCTATTCGAAATTTGAAATGCTTAAACGTGTGCGCTTGCGCTTAAAATTTATCTTCTAAACAATAATACTATATAAGGTTTTTGAGTGCTGTTACTTAACTAACAGCTACTAACAAAACAACTTTGTATGAAATCATCTTATTGTACCTTTTGTCATCTAAATTGAATGGTTAGTGCAGTCAAATTTGAAGGTTACCTTAATTCTCACAGAGCTAAAAAATGGTATTAATGTTAAGATTACTATTACAAATTTATTGTAAAAAACCACATCCCCTTGTTCAATTTTTTTATTGATAGTGAAATTTTGGAAAAATATTTTTTTTGGCTTTTTCAGCTAAACAATACTAAAATTGTAGATTATCCGATTCTCTGCAGAATATGTGTTGAAACTTTTTTTGTTAAGTGGTGAGATTTCCGTGATACAGCGGTTCAAAGAACTGAAAAAGTAATTTTGGGCTGATGGGGATTTTACACAGCTTATTTATAACAGTATTCTGAACATTCATACCAATTTATTTATTTCTTACCTCTTTATTGCAATATACACAAATGATTGGAGAAGAAATAAAAAATATTATTACTAGTTATGGAGGGCAATGAGCGGCCTTCTCTTTTAAGAGCGATCTCTTCCAGGCAACCCTTTAATCTTTGGGAATTATTGTAACTTCACCTCTTTTTTAAGGACTAATTTGAGTGGACTATTAACAATTAATATGGACTTTATAACACAATTCATACCCTATGTCTTATATGGCTATGATTTCATCCAAGGTTTGAAACATATTAAAGAATCATATATAAAAGTCTAACACAGTTTTGGCAATGGTTTAATTGACAGGTCGGGCAGTCCAATACCCATAGAATATCTACCAGAGGAGAGTTCACTGAACTCGAAGGTTCGGCTCCTGATACTGTACCAAGGGAGACCAACTACGACGATCGCTGTGGGTGATCCTCTCACGTTCCGGTTGGAAGCCCAGGACGGATACAACTACGCAACGGATATCTTCGCTACCAATGTTATCGCTAGAGATCCTTATTCGGGACGGTCTGTGCAACTTATCGATCGTGTTGGGTAAGTGAAAAAATATTAAACGGTTTAAAACGCGAAATATTTAAATTAATCCCAAACTTCGGATCATAGATGAAAATCATATAATTTATATATTCCGCGACACGATTCGTACACATTTATACAAACACTTTTGACGGTTTAAAATGTAAAATATATTAGTTATTTTTTCTAACTACGATCTGATGTTTTTTATGCATAATAACAGCCGTAATAAACGAGCCATAAAATAAATTAATCAATACATATATTACGGGTTTTAAACCGTTACTAGTGTTATATAAGTATTATGTAGCATATCATTGCCTTTCGGGCCGATGTGAGAGAGAACCTCTTCTCGCTCGAAAGACAATGATATGCTGAACGATGGCCGTGAAAGCCTTACACAATTTAGTAAAGTATTATCTACTTCAACTGTTTTATATTGCAGACAGCACTAGCTGACTCGGAGTATATCTAATGACTTTATTAGTAGTAGTTGGTAGATACCAAAGCCAGAAGTTCTCGGGGATAAGACTGTTTGGTTGTTCAAGTACTAGCATTGTTATTATGAGGATGTTTTGATAACGGCCAAATGAAAACAGGAAATTATGCATAGCACTTGATGTCTTGCATCCTCCATTGATAGCAAGGTTTTATTATATTATCAAGTTCTAAATAACAAGACCCTATTTTAAAAATAAACAGAGAGTGCTGCTTAATGAGGCAATTTGTAATATAAATCTTATTTTATTTAAAAACTTTAATATTTATATCATGTTATTGCACATTATGGCGCTATACTATGCATTAAAAATCGAAAATAAATTTATTTTATCAATTTATATCAATTATTATATGCTAACAAAACGAACTTGCACGTTGCCCTTTATTTCAAACAAACGTCTCACGTAAAAACTCAATTCTTCTTACTTTAAAACTTACTAAAGATTTCTTATACATATCGTTTTCATAATTATTATTTATAGATGTCCAGTAGATCCAGATGTCTTCCCTGAATTGGATAAAGGAAGAAATGGTGATTCTTTAGAAGCGAGATTTAACGCGTTCAAGATTCCTGAATCTAACTTTTTGGTGTTTGAAGCAACCGTTCGGACCTGTCGCGATGGCTGTCAACCGGTGAGATAGTTTTTATCAACGTTGTAATTATTGTATTTGCAAATTTATTATATTTCCTCCAGATCAACAGAACAATTAATTACGTCTATTCACAATTAGGGTATTTATTTTGTACATTCTTTGTTAATTATACAGGCAAAGTTGTTAATAATAAAGACAAATGCTTATTAGTTCACTTTCGAGCGATAGTGGTGTTTTCGTTGTTGGTCTCAATGTAGAAAACACCTAAATATAATAAATAATAATTAACTTATTACCTTTTTAATCATCTTTACATACTAATATTTTAACTGCGTAAGTTAAAATTTTTCTTACTCTTGCCGCCATTTTGAAATTATCGAATTTGTAGTCTTAAAAGTAATTTTTTACTATTTGATTACTATAACGTGTAGATATTGTAAGAATCTAGTAGATCTTTAGTTTATTTTTAAATCACTTACTATGTTTTAATTGAACTAACAAAGAAAAAAGAAGATAAACGAAGACACTAACATAGGCACAACTAGGTAATAGTTATCATGAATTACGTATAGTTATTTATGTAAATAACGATAATAGATTCAATATGACGTCAATAGCATAGCATAATAAACGGTTTTCGTGTTATCAGAAACTCGGGGTTAGGTTATCTGAAGCATTAAGAGGTCGTATGAGCTGAATGCACTAGGAATTATGATGTTTATCTAAAAATAGAGCAAATTGTACCGCTGTATGTTGATGGGAATTAAGGCCAATTACTAGACAAATACTAGACATCAACGGCCTCATTACAAATAATACTTAAACCATGATGTCTAAATGAATCTAAGTTAGTACCATAGTTATTCCAGTACAAACTTTATTTTGTAATAAGGATTTTAAATAAACCAGGGTTTGAGAGTTAGTCCTCGTTTTGTAATAAGAGTGTAAAAGTCTCGCTCTATATCATGAAGGGCTCAATTTATAATTTTTCTGAAACATGTTGGACTTTGTCAGGAAATTTGATTATTAAATGAGGTGGTAGGAATATCGACATATCGTCCGGGTCACGAACAACAAACCACAGATGGAAAAGCCGTCAAGTTTAATCGGACTTCCGAATATCCAAGCCAAACGACGCATCTTGTGTAGATATAACATCTATCATGGCTGAAGCTATATCACCTACCATTAATTGAACTTATGCTTGTCGGTAGCTAACTTAATTCTCACTTATTTTTCATTAGCTTGTATAGGTTTATAAAGAAGTGTCAGAAGTTAGTTTTAAACCGTTAAAGTGTTTTATTTAAATGGCTAAAAAAATTACTGGCGTAAACTATAGACAGTATTGTTTACGCTGTCTATAGTTTACGCCAGTATGTTTTGAGTTCATAGACGGGATATTGATAATGCCTTAAATAATAATTATAAATTAAAAACAGTGTACAGCAATAAATTATAATTATTACATTAAATATGACACAGCGTCAAAGTTCAAAGGCCACCGTTGAATTCAGAGTTCGATAGACATAGACAATAAAAAACCACAATAACATGATATATAACATACCTATTGTGATAATTACATACACATATTGTGTTATATTTAAAACGGTTAAATTTTGATTTAGTTTAATAAGCAGAAACGGAATGGCTTAACGGACTTATTAATTATTAATAGAAATGATTGCGCAAACACTTTTTTTTTATTACGAAGAGCTTTTGTTATTTAATCTGTAAGACATGTGTAACGGTGTTAATCACACTTCTGTTCTGCTGGACCCAAACTAATGGTCCTAGTAGGTAACTAATCTAGAACTCAGGACATGTCACTCCTAACACACTGCGAAGGAGGCAGTATAATCTAGTTAACTTTGTTTTCTATACCTTATTTATAATTTTTTATCTTTAATCCGACATATTTATTCCACAGGCCTATTGCCCTGGCCAAACTGGCCGCTCAGAACCGTCATTTGGCCGGCGCCGACGAGATGTGAACTCCACGATAACAGCTGAGACGAACAACACCGAAAGTAAACCAGAAGAATCATCGTCGAATAAGACTGAAGATGCTGTATACAAGATATCGTTTGAGGAGGCGACAGTCGATAAGTATCTAAAGGATGAAGTAGAAACACCAAGCCACGTGAGAAAAATGATCGAGGTAAGGTCACGTGACCGTCCACGCTTTGTACATTCGCATTGCGCATGCGCAATGATCATGTTATAAACACGTTGCAACTTAATACTTCTATGTTTATTATCAATAGGTGAGTAGAGAACATTAATTAGATCATAATATACTCTGATAGGAGAAATGTGGTTTAACCAAATGACTAATGATATGACGAAAATGAAAAAGCCGAAGGTATTATGAAGGATGGCTAGAGCAGTTTAATGTTGGGACACGTATATACGAATTCGTTATTTTTCAAAAAAATAAATACATACAAAGTTCCTATATGTTAAGTTTTATATGCTAAGAAACAAAGGATAATATACAATGATATAGTGAACAAAAATTATGATATAAATCTAACTCCGTAATCACGGAAAAGTTGGATTGATACTGTCCCGCACAAATTTTACATTCCGATCGTGACGTCCGGCCGAAATCGCGATCTCTGGTTGGAATGGACTGAAAAAATCACAATTGAGATAGCAAATGATAATTCTTAAAACGTGAAAATTGTAAAGCCTTTTTAGAGCATAGGGGGTAACCGAGTAACAAACTTTACAACCAAGCGTTTTAAGTTTTTTTTAAAACATTCGTATGAGTCACAAAACGTCATGCGACATATAAGTAAAATCAAATGCCTTTTTACTAAAGATAAGTTATAACAGGTCTTCGACAACCGGAACGACCTGATAGAGGAGAATCGTTCAGCGGGTTCCTCACCAGTCGTAGCAGCGGTCGGCGTCTGCGTCTCAACGCAGCATTACCGAGCCCTTCTTCTGGCACTTTGCTCGCTACTTGCTCTACTATTGGCTATGTTGATTGTTGCTCTCTATATTTACAAGTTAGTACACATACTTTAAAAACAATCTCGCTTTAATGTTACTAATCAATGTGAAGTCGTATTTTATAATAGACTACAATTTATTTCTTTTATTTTCTTTACACTGACCTTCACAACAATTACTTATATTAAAAACAGTTCATTATCATAAAAAAATTACGACACGACTTGAACCGGCATCCACAGCGTCCCGTGCTTACATGTCATAATTTAATTTTTTTCAACCTGTTTATACATGCAACTGTCGCGCAATGTAATTCCCTCCCTAACAGTTATATTGCTTGTTGTATTCGGAATCAATTTATTTACTAACATTTCGTAATAATTAGGGGAAAAATTAACGTTTGATCTTTTCTTTAAATTTTAGACGTTACTGGCGTGTGCTACGTAAAAATATCGCGGCTTCTGCTCCCCCGGTGAGTCGGCCAGCTGCTCCAGGACCGAGACCCACTCGACCGTCTCTCTTCTCAGCATCACATCTGCATAAACCATTTTCTTTGAGGTATTTAATCACTGATTTATCTGGCTCTGTCCAAAACTGTGTTTAAAGAAAACTTTCCCAAGATTTGCCGGCCCCTCAGTATATATTTTTTTAATATGGACCTGCACGAAATCTGATACCATATCTCATTATTGTCCTCATTTTGAGAGTCCCGTATAAATAATACTATACCTACCCACATTTATATAAAGTATAATTTGTTATTGTATAAAACGAAATATTGTTTTAGTTTAAACGTATCGGTATTCATATAGAATACAATAACACCTTTCGAATAAATATAGCAAAATCTTAAGAAAATTACCTTGCTTTAAGAAAAATGCTTTAGCGCTATTTAATTACGTTGTGCAAGTACTGCTTTTTGGTATTTTTAAATATGTAGGTACCTCCGTGTCTTTTTTTATACATATATTGTTTAATATTTCAGTGGTCTAGGCAGAAACTTCACAGATATAGGTGAAGAGGCCGGTTCTTCTGGGCGATTAGCAAGTGCATTCGACGACGGCAGCGAACCAATTTACACTGACCCCTCGCTCTTTGAAAGATCCAGGTCTCTCAGGTCCTTGCACTCATTGGATCTGAAGCCGGAACGACGGGAGCATCACGCATAATTCGTTGTTTTAAGGCTACCGCAATAGGACCATGTGGGTTAACGAAAGATCATTTGGTAGTAAATGGATTATGAATAAACTAATCGCTAGAGATTGTAAGCAAGAAATGTGTTCTGTCTCTTTATTATTAAAATGTATCTAATATGCGGTGGCCTAATAATTTCTTATAGTTCTCAAACTTGAAACTCAGTATTGAAATGTATTAATTAAATAATTTTTATACACATTTTGTGAGTCAGTACTAATAAAATACTTCAAATAAGACCAAATTTTATTAATTCCTTTAACCATTAACTTAAAATATAAAAACTAAAATTTCACTAAAAATTATAAAACTAATTCCTTTTTAAAGTAAAATCTACATAGTATTATCAGACACAAACGCACAAATAATAAACAATACTTTCTTTAATAGATCATTACTTACAGTAACCTTCATTTAATAAAATTCCTTAAATAAGGCTTTACATATATGGAGAGGGACTTGGCATAGGTACACTCATTAACGGTGAATCTAGATAGTCCATTTCAGTAGCAGCTGGAATTGGCTCTGTTTGTGAAGTCAACTTCTGCTGCAGTGCTTCATAAACCTTATGAACCGCCTCATTATGTTGAGTTCCCGGTTGTAAAGCTTTCATAAGTGTGTGTATTCTAGTCTCAGGTAATTTAGGATGAATGTACCATATCAATTTCAACAAATGCCGCGTAACATTGTCTTGTGAGAGGCCGGCGAAAAAGAATTCATCAAATAATACTGTACTAAAGTCTTCACCTTGGAATTCATCGGGAAACTGTATAAGTAGAGCAACTAGTTGATGCAGGAACGGATCTGAATATGCCAGTCCATTTTTACAGCTACCGAGTATACTTAGTATCCTAAGCAATGCCCCTCTGTCTCTTGTTTTTGCTGCATGTAGAGTATAATACATTGCTAGAACACTGCATACCACACTTTCTCTCATGTAAGCTTCACAAGCGTCGGGTGGTGGTCCAGAATGTTCAATAGTGGTTATAGCAGACTCCCTTTCATCTGGAGGTAATTTATTGTGTAGGGCTCTTACCTGATCGTCTACCATTAGCGACATTAAGGCTGGCAAATACTTTGTAACCACTTGACTATCCAGTTTAGGTTCCTTAAATTGCTGAGTATTTATAATGTCCCATGAACCTAAACCTAGCGCTAACATTCTCAGCAAGAGTATTAAAATTCCATTATCTCTGGGTAATCCTTCAGTATTAATAAGATGATGAAGAATTTTTATAGCTGAACTTGCCAAGAAATTAACAGCGTAGGGGTCACAAAGTGTCATAGAAAGATCACCTAATATTTGTTCTGTGCCTTTCTTCACTCCATCTAAAAAGCCTTGCAATTCACGAGATCGTTTGACATCTACATTCTTTACTCTAATACAAGCATCTAAGCACCAAGTAAACTTATGACATGGATCTGCTGAAATAATTGGATGATTTTCAGCATCATGCAACGTCATGAGAAGTTCTGCCCTTAATGTACAATAATGAATATTTTTGGTCCGTAGAAACAGTGTTCTCAAAAACTGCAACACCATATCATAGAGTTTCACATTTGTGCCTACCATATGAGCAAGTTTCTGAACAACATTACCCTTTCTACGTAGCTTGGGTGATGATGAAAAGAATAGATGCGCCATATTTTCATGGTCAAATAACACATTCTCCTTCTCTCGGATGTATAAACTAAGTAATGGTGAGACTTCATCACCAAAAAGTGACTGATTATCTTGCCAGATCTGCCTTTTAACTTCTGTATCAGTATCATTGTACAATTCTCTATCGCGGACTAAAACTTTTAAGTATTTATCGTCAATATGAGTTATATTCTTGAGAATGCTCATAATGACTGGTCTCAGCACTTTAAGCTTAATAACAGGGAAACTTTTTGCAAGCAGTTCTTTAAGTTTTTTCTCGTTGCCTTTACCATCCTTTTTACCAAGTGTATTTATATGTTCGATCATTTTATCCCGAAGCTCTTCAAGAACAGAGGTATGAAAATCGAGACGACGAACTCCATGGAGATCGAGGAGTGGCAGCATTGGCCGTAGTGAGGGAAGTAAAATTCCATTTTCTAATTGAAACTCTTCAATAGCTTTTAGTGGATCAGTACAACTGGTCAATGCGTCTCGAAGAAAATGTTGTCCAGGCACGCTTACATCGTCTAAACCTGTGCCCAGAAACTTATTGCTAGACGCAGCCATTACACTCAAGAGATCATAACACTTAACAACCACACGACAATTAATGATTGGGCATGAGCGCCCGGTTAATAAAAGTCTATTTCCAAATACTTCAAATATTTATATACAACTTCTAACAATAACTTGATTGCAACTTTGGTTGCATTTATTTTTTGACGTCTGTCATCTGGTATAACCTGTCATGTAAATGTATATTTAAGGTCTATGTTTGACGTTTCTGTTATTATTTTTTTTCCATTTGTGCAAGAAGAATTAACTATTGCCAGTGTCAAGTTAAAATTAAGTTATTTTTCAGCGCCATTCAAATACGAGTGTAGACATAGACTTTGCAAAATATTTAATGCCAGAAGTAAAACAAAAGAAAAGAGAAAAGACTACTAAACTATATAATAATGCCTTGTTATTAATCCCACGGACATACATGGTATAAGTAGAATTCTTTTAGAATAATAAAACGATCAAATTAAGAAGAAGAAATCTTTTAATTATTATCTGGTGGCAAGCTAAAAAATAAGGTCAGCATCCGATGATTGTCTATGATTTTTGACTATTTACATTTTTAAACAACACAACAGATATTATATTATTCTACTCTGTGACAGGATCTTATATGTTCAAGTAACGAGTTACTTCTTATTAACATAAAATAAATCTATTATGTAAATAAATAGGATTTTACAAGTATATATACCATAAGAAATTATAGCGAATATAAATGTTTTTATTAAATTAAATTCTCATTTTAATAGAACAATTATTGACGATACTTAGAATTTCTATAAATATTCCTGAAATTATGTCTGATAAACAGAAAACGTAAGTACTAACGGCAATGAATGCGCTTTAATATATATATTGTTTTAACTATGTTAGGATGCTATTATTGCTTGTTTTAGACTATTTTGTGGCGATGTGAACGGGAATTTCAACGCATTATTTTCCCGCGTTGAGTCCATCGTTAAAAAGTCGGGGCCGTTCGATGTCCTCTTGTGCGTCGGTAACTTCTTCGGTGATGATAACTCGCAATTGGATGCCTACAAAATGCGAACCAGAAAAGGTAAAATCTTCTGAACATGTATTATTATTACTTTATAAGTATTACATTGATCTCTGCAACTTTGTTCCATGTACTAGCAAAATAATACTAAGATATACTTATTTTATTTATTATTATTTATATATTTATTTTATTACTTCTCTGAATAGCAGCTATGTACTAATTTATGTTATTCCTGCCAAAGTTAATTGACTGCACAGTTTCCTTAGGCTAAGAAGATAGACAAACTCTGTTATTGATGTTTATTTGGATCATAAACATCCTAAGTTCAATAAGCAAACTAATCGTTGAGTTAAGTGGATTATAAATATATGGATTTTTAATAGGAAAACAACTTATTTTACAGTACCAGTAACTACATATGTTTTCGGACCAAGCAATAGTGACCATGTTAAGTACTACTGTGAAGAAGGGTGTGAAATTGTTCCAAACGTTATTTATATGGGTAAGTTTTATTAATATTCTGTGTAGATGCTGTAGGCCGATCGATCCTGTAGGCCAGAAATTTACCATAAATTAAAGATATTTTTGATCAAGGGGTTAGCAATATATAGGTACTTTTAATTTTAATGTCCCATAAATTGCAGTAACCGTAATTGTGGGTTTTTAGTAGTATTTGGAAAAATCAAGTCTCAATATGATCTCCATTATAGAAAAGCATTCATTGCAGGTAGAAGAGGAATTTTTACAACAAGTGCCGAAGTTAAAATTGCATATTTAACTGGTTTGTCGAGGCGGGAGCTAGGTAAAGAAATAGCGTCATGTACATTTGAGCCGAGCGATTGTAGCGCAGTAAGAGATGCATGTTACAGAGGTCAGAGTGAATATAGAGGTGTTGATGTATTAATTACTACTCTGTGGCCATCGGGTGTCCAACAAGATGAATGTCAAAAGGTAAAATAATATAATTAATAATTATTGAGAAGTGTATATAACTACTTAATTTGCATTATGGTTTGAAGAGATTCAATCCTTTTAAAACAGTCTTGTGTCTATGTATTGGTAAAAATTATTTGTATTCTTGTTTTGAAGCAGGTCTAATTAAGTTAATTTCTATGTATCAAGGTAGATGTCAAGGAAGAGAGTCTGTCAAACTTAATAGCGTGGCTTTCTATTCATGTGAAACCGAGGTATCATATTGTACCTTCAGCAGACAAGTTTTATGAGAGACAACCTTATAGGTAATTAATTAAAACTTAATAACCAAAATAATAACTTATATATTCAGAGATTTTATAGAATAAAACTAGATCACTCATAATAAGTACTAAAAAGTATCAGGGTGTTGGTAATATGTAGCATTTTTTCTTAGTTAGCCACTGTTATTACAATACATACAAATTTCAATATAGCTAGTATTGTATAGACTGCCTTGTAGCTACATCATGTGTTACCTAGAGTGGCATGTAGTACAAGAGGTCATGGGTTTGGATACCAGGGAAAGAATGAATTATTTGAATGGGGCAGGGCACAGAAGTCTCATCAACTACTGTGTCCGCTCTATGCCTCACAGAGTGAAACGGAATTTAACACTGATAAAGAAATCTAACTGATAAAGTCATATGTTTATATAAAAGTACTTTCTGCTATGCATCCTTCTCATCGGTTATTCATGTTCTCTATAAACACACATTTTAAATATTTAAGAAATCAAGGCATGCATCAAGATTACAAGGAATGTGCGACAAGATTTATAGCGTTGGCCCCGGTTGGCAACAAGGCTAAAGAAAAGTGGGTTTACGCATGCCTCTTACAACCTATAACTAAGATGAGAATGACTGACCTTTTGCAAAGCACCACAGATGAAACAGACTGTCCGTATGATCCAGAATTGTTAAAACAACATCAACCTGGGAAGGTTGTCAAGGTCTGTATTAAAAGCTAATAGTGGGTTTGATCTATACTAGGCTTTATAAGTTTTTAATAAATTTTATATATAATATATATTTGTGAAGCATAAAGGACTTTGACTGGAAATATAGATATTAAATAGGTGGTAGGAATATCGTAATTCAAAGCCATGGGTAACTGATGGTATTTAAAAAACGCCACTGAAATATTTGTTCACGCCCTGGAAAAGTAACGATAATTTCTTGTTATCTCCTTTACACAACATATAACATACCTCTGTATACTTAGGTGTCCGGTAATGGGCAATTCTTCTTCAACATGGACGCGTCAGAAGATGATCACGGCAAGAGGAAAAGAAAGAGTGGCGATAATCCAGATCGAAAGAGAAGAGATATAGATCCTGGTAATATTTTTAAAATGTGTAATACTAATATTATAAACGTGAACAATGTTTGAACTCACTTATCTCAGTAACTATTTGTTCGAATTGAATAATTATTTTTGTTTTCGTATCGAGGAAGGCTTAGGACAATTTAAAAAACAGGCTGCGACTAATAGACTCAAATAAACACAGGGAAATGTGGGAAAAACGGGGAAAATGCGTGCGCTCTAAAACGATACCCAGGAAATATAAAGAAAAAATATTCTTCTTGAAATAATCTATATAAAACTCTGTAACCGCTTTTATGGTAATAAAAATTCCATCAAATACTTGATGCCATATCCTTGATTGATGATTACCAATATAATATTATAAACTCCAAGGACAATGCAAGGACATAACCTATTTGCTTCTGTCCCTAATCTATTTTTTGTCTTACTTTTAATATACAGTCTATCAATAATGTTAGTAATTTTTTAACTATATTTAATGTGTACTTTGTTTATACTATAGATTCTTGCTGGTTCTGTCTATCATCACCTACAGTGGAAAAGCATTTGGTGATATGTGTTGGAAGGCATTGTTACCTTGCTCTGCCGAAGGGTCCTTTGACCCCTTATCATGTACTGATACTGCCTATTGCTCATCATCAATCTATCACAAAGGTAAGAAAAAGAAGGAATTCTAAATATAGTGATATTTCTTCACTAGAATTAGTGATAAAAAATAAACAAAAGATAGTGAGTAGATAGTATGTCGAACGATCGACGATTGGTAGACACACCTTTATTTATGTAAATCGCGATATATTAGTTAAACTTATTTGAAAATGATTCTTATCTTCGGCCCGACGTTACGGATGCTTTGCAGCAGCCGTGGTCACGGGGAGGCAAGTTAAAAACCATTTTCAAATGACGAAGTTAAAAATCATTTTCAAATAAGTTTAACTAATATATCGCGATTTACACCGTTAAAGTGTTTGATTTAAATGTGTACTACTCGCGTAAACTATAGACAGTATTTAGACACACAATTTTTGCACCCGTAGAATATTTTGTGTTCTTGTTTTTTTCCTGAAATTGTGCGAAAGGGACAACAATCTATCTAGCTCTTCATATATTAATTTGCCAATAAACTATTGTAAAAAGAGTAAGAGTAAATTTATCCTTAGATCTCTGCTGCTGCTGCTCTTTCCATGCTGAACTTAGTTTTGCCTCTATATGTCTTAAAAATAAAACACTTAACGGTTTAAAAAGCGAAATATTATATTTAAAAATTATGATATATTTTCCGTTTTATACAATTGTTTTATTTAAATGTGTTCTATTGCGTAAACATCAGAATACTTAGGTATTATGGCTTTAAAAACCACCCTTATTACAACAAAGCATTATCGAATTAGTTTTAAAAGGTGTTGCCATATATAAATCCTAGATGGCGCTGTTTTAACTTAGACTTTCAGTCCACAACTATATTCATTTTCTTTTTATTAGTCCCCAGATGACGTCGTCAAAGAGATAAAACTATTTAAAGACGTATTGAAGAAGTTCTATAGCTCGACGGGTAAAGTCGCCGTTTTCTTTGAGAGGAACTACAAAACTTCGCATATGCAAATACAGTGTGTGCCACTACCAAAGCATGTCGAACCGCAAATTCTTGAAGTTTTTCAGGTAATGATGTCAAAACTAAGTTATTAAAATTTATTTTCTCTTAGCCGCCTTTGTTCAAAGTTGAGGACAAGAAGTCTTTGGTTTAAATACCAGGGCAACATTTATTTCGGTCGGGCAGGGCACACCAGTTACTATGTCTTATAAATCAAATTGTTCAATGAAAGAAGATATATTTGTTTAAATACTTATAGCATGTTACAATGCTAAACTTAATTTCTACTAGTTTAGAAGCTAGATCTACAAAGGTATTCGTACTTTATCACATATAAACTGTGCATTATTATATTGAAAAAAAAAAACAATTTCAACCAAATTTAAAGAAGTTACTTCATACAAAATACATAGCGTAAGAGTCCAATGATGGTCATTCATTCTAATTTCTCTAGCTATATAATGTTTTTTTGTGAATTTGTTCTTGCGTCTGAACTGCTAGGCAGACTTTAGTGAAATTTTGCAAAAACTCAGAACTTACCATTTCCTATTTAAAAATTTGGCCTCTATATAAATATATTTTCAGGACGAAGCAGGTATCAACCGAATTGAGTTGGAAGTGTTACCTCAGTACACAGAGATCGCTCAAGTGACATTACCCGGGGCGCCTTACTTCCACGCCGAACTGCCATCCGGGGAACATTTGTATGCGAAGACGAAGCAACACTTCCCGTTGCAATTTGCGAGGTAAGCTCATATCAACAATATCCTACTGCTGGGAAAAAGTTTTCTTTTTAAATAAAACACTAACGATCTAAAACGCGATATATATTAGTTAAACTTATTTGGGAATCGTATTAACTACGGCCCGAGATTTCGGATGCTGTTTTGGCTAATACCAACTACGATGGAACAGATGGCGTTAGTGTAGCAATTTTTATTTTGACATTATCCATCTTTAGTCTGTCATTGCGGCTGCAAAGCATCCGAAACATCCAAATAAGTTTAACTTTCATATTTCGCGTTTAAACCGTTAAAGTGTTTTTTTTAAATGTGTACTACTCGTGTTAACTACAGACAGTATTTAAGTCTTTCTCTTTCTTTCTTATAAGAGCCTAATGTCTATTTTTTAGGGACGTTCTTTCAAGTCCGCCATTATTAAATTGCGAAGACAAAGCTGACTGGCGTCAATGCCTGCTCCCTCGAGAGGAAGAGGACGCCCTCGTATCCACCTTTAGAGATAAGTTCAGACCCTTTGACTTTACAGCAGACGATGATAGCGATAGTGATTAGAAATTGATACAATCTTAATCAATAAGTTTGATTTTAGTAAAATTATGTAATTATACACTGTCTTTGACTACATACCCCAAATTATTTTTTCATAATTATTTTTTATAGGTAAAATCACGCTGGTAAGATTCTCATAGGCTTTATTTTATTTCTTTAGATTTCCAAATGTCCAATATAATACGTACCGTATCTTGAAAATCCTTATCATAAATGGACACTTAGTGCTCAACAGTGGAGTGTGTTTACCCAGATTTTGAAAAAAAATGAACAAAAAACTTTGTATATTTAAATTTGACAATGAAATAATACTTATGCTGTCACGACATTTTTGTACACTACGTAGTAAATATTTAAATAAAGTAGTAAATAGATAAACGGTTAACTTTAACTTAAAACACGATTTATATACGTTAAACTTATTTTTGGCCAGACGTTTCGGATGCTTTGCAGCGGCCGTGGTCGCGTAAAGATTTTTTTGCAATAAATAACATATCTCCGTTTCTCAAGGTGAAAGTAGACGGCATCGTAGTTCTTTAATGTTTAATACAAACACACACAAAATTACAAACCTGACCTCCTTATAAGATTGGTGTAGATTATTGGAGAAGATAAGTAAAAAAAAAAGCGATAGTTTCGTTAAATGATTTTTATTTTTGTCACATCATACTGCCTAATGACCCATTTGTTATAAAAACATATTTGTAACAACATGATTAACTAACTTACAATGTACGAGTATATAACAAAATACTAAAATGATATGGTACATTGACTAGAAATGATAAGATTGGAGTTTGCCAGTCGAGCGATCGGGCGACTTTCGTTGTATGGTTGAGACCGAATCGGTTTGGTCGGATGGTTGAGTCTCTTATGGTGACGACCAAATATTAAAAATCACGAATTTTAATCAACTAATCTAAGTACAGTACATAAACCACCAAATTTCACAGAAAAATCAACTGTGGACAATTCTAATATTAACATTATTATTTCCCGGTGGAACGTCTTAGCTGAATTGCTAGTTAATAGCAACAGCCGGTCCGCGATAATTAATATTTGGCATATGAAGTCGCATGAAACTTATATCGAAATCAGTCGATAGTATCCAGTTAAAATTCGAAGTAACAGTAAACTAAGTATATATTGTACTAAACACTACAAAATGTATAACTTCGTTTGACTAGCAAAAGTATTTGTGCCTAGATATATAAAATAGATTTAATTAAAAATAGGGCAGTCTTCATTGGAATTACGAAACTTAAACCAACTAATGTTTCCGTGTGAGGGGCCACCACTAAATTATGTCACATGTTAAAGAAGAGAACTTGAATGTTAATTTTGTGACGTCACATCATTATCGTATAAAATCGCGACGTGAGTTCGAAATGTTTAACGTCGCACATGGGTTTGACAAATGCCAAATTGTGACCAGCTGTCACAAGGACCGGGAACGCGTCTAAAAAACATAGCTGTGACGTAATTCACGGGTGACCCCTAAGGTCCAATACAAAACGTTACCAACATTCATAAACTATGCCTACTCGATACATTCAAGTACATAATAACTTTCTGCCGTATTTACCAAATACTATAGGTAAAGTGTATTGTCCTGTTACTGTTCGCTGAGGATATCAAATAGTACTATGCGATAATTTAACATTATTCAAGGAATATATACTCGTATGATATTAGGAAGGTCTTGTCAGATTGTCATTTGAAAATTTACAAGTAAACAACAAACTGACGCGGTTAAAAGCTTGATATTGTGAATTGGTCTTTATTAAAAGTAATGTTTAAGTGATTTAAAGTTTCTGAGTATTGTTTTGATGCATACAAATTTACTCAACTATGAGTGCGTTCAAATGTGACAAGCTTTGTCTCGTAGATACAGGAATATAATACTTTTATATGTTGAAATGTCAAAAATGTTGTCGTTTTCGAATGCACGTATCGAAGAATTGTTACGTACTGCCTAATATGAAAATTTAATTAACATTCGCCTTATGGTAACAAATAGACAGTGAATCAATGAAAACTATAAGTTTCCATAAAATTTACAACAATCAAACAATTCATACTTATACGTGGATATAATTCTTCAATTAAATCCGTAACTAGTTTTAAGACTTTGGTCAATAAGGCATTAAGTTTAAAATATATATTTTTTTACTTTTAATTATTGTTCTTCTTAGTTATAATATTCGATACTTGTTAATACATTTATTACAACAGTTATTTACAAGGGTTTTAGAGCCTTAAGCTGATAGGTTTAAAGTTGATAATTCAAGTGCGAGTGAAACAGACCTTAAACTGTCAAAAGAGACATCTGGCGTCTAAAACACAAACCACATATTGTGTATTATTAGCGTCAAAGTATTCCCAAGGGCTTGTGTGCCCTTTGACCAAAACACGACAGCTATCTATCGATATAAAGACGACCTCGCGACACTTAATATTACGAATAAATTATTTCAATACATTCAATAATAATTTATTCATAAACTTTGAATAATTCAATGAGTACATAGTACGAATTTGTTTATTGTGTTATATGGCACTAGTCATTGGCTAAACCTATCTATCTACAGACATATATACAAGACTAGTATGTACTTTGGCAACATTGCAGGGTTTTTAAAGCGTGTACTTAATCTTTATCAAAAATTGTTTTCAGGTTTTCGCATTCTCTTATAGGCCTGTGGGTTTTACCACCTTTATTCTAAACAAATAGAATACTTAATAAATATACTCAAGTCATGATATCAAGATTTAAGCCGAAATAACTATAGTTATTCAAAGTGGAATTTCTCAACACTTACTAGGAAGTAGTTATTTTAACACGTCGACCTCTTTAGGAAACGTCATAGCAATTATTCCGGCTTTTCCGAGGTGTATTTCAGACATTGATTTGAAAAGCTTCTCTCGAGACTTTCGAATCGCTCCCGTGCTGTGTGACCTGCGCGTGCGCAATGTTGTGGCGCTTGCGTCGGTGGTGACCCTCGCACTCCGTGTCGTCGGAGAACCGGGACGGAGGGTGGATGTGCTCGTTGAACGACGGGTAGTTCGAGATGCTGGAAGTGGGAACGCTTTATTAAACACATATTTAGCACAAGTGTAGTTTTTAATAAAAAATTTGACCATATCATTTATTTATGACTCCTACAAAGCGAAAAAGCTTCTTAAATCATATATAATTAAGGCTTCACATCTTTCTAAATATTTTGACATCAATAATGTTTCTTTGCTCTCAGTTGTAATGACAGTAAATATCATTTTCAAGATTTGAATTTTAAAAATAATAAATGCCTACGATAATAAATTATTACATATATGTAATGGCAAATTGAGACGACAAGTCTGATATTGTGATTGTATAGTTTAAAAATGTAAATAAAACACTTTAACGGTTTAAAACGCGACATATTAGTTAAACTTATTTGAAAATGATTTTTAACTTCGGCCCGACGTTTCGGATTCTTTGCAGCAGCCGTGACCCGTGACCAACATATAAGTACATCACGTTTTAAACCGTTAAAGTGTTTTATTTAAATGTGTACTACTCGCGTAAACTATAGACAGTATTTAGTTTAAAAAATGTGAAGAATAAAGAATAAACATTTCCACACCATCTACATTATGCAATTGAAAATTAACAAAAAAAGGCACCATTTATGCTGTAATTATAGCGTTTGTTATTAAATGATTACTTTCTATAAGCGTTTAAGCTGTAATGATTTGTAGTCCGCAAAAAAAAAAGACAGCTAAACTATTGCATGATGTGGTCAGTGTAATCCTTAAGCTAATAATGAAAATGTACGAATGAGGCACGAACATCGTTGTAGGGTGTTGTTTTGGACAGTAACCTGAAGGTGGTCTCGTCGTTGTGGCTGCTGTAGCCGCTGGAAGAGCGCACGTGCCTCTTGCCGAGTGCCCCCCGCTTTCCCCTTTCGTGATGGGAACGCTTTGCGCACCACGCCGCCCACTGAGTTCTCGGATGAAGACGACGATTCCTCACGTTCCACTGTTGGATCTAATGCGGAATAGGTATCTTACAAATTAAGCAAATGTAGTGATAGAAAACCAGTCTTGGAGCCAATTAATATCCAAAGCAAAAATAGGTCGACGGCGTCTTGTTTAGATGTTATATGGCAGAGAGCACTTTCCATCAAGTGAAAAAGTCTTGAAAAATATAACAGAAGATTGAGAAAAGCAAAATTCTGTCACTTAAATGTAAATTTTGGCACTTATACTATATGTCTTATGAGATCTTGAAATGGATTTTGTAGATAGTTTATAACGATCTAAATAAAACACCGTTAAAGTGGTTTTATTTAAATGTGTACTACTCGCGGAAACTAAAGACAATAGTATTGTGACAATAGTTACATTAGTTCAACTGAGTTAATTGAACTCTCTACACACTTTGTATTTTAGAATTTTACTTAGTTAGTGCATTGTGTGGAGCTAATAAAATGGTTTGATTACACGTAGGAGGGTGCGTTGGTCGTAGTCTGGCGGCGTGTTCGCTGTCGGAGTGCGGAGCGCTGGCGTCGTCGCTAGCATCATCCTCGTACTCTGTAATTGGCAGGTGCAGCGTTAATATCTTCTTCACCTCCGAATCCGTTGACCCCAAGTTGTCCGACTCTGCAAAACCATCCTCAATTCACTAACTTTCCATAAAGAAATTCAAACGATGATCGAGCTGCATAAATTATTCTAAAAGAATAATTTATGGCACCATGACAGTAAGCATGACAAAAACGAATAGAAAAGACAATGTAAATCGATGGATGACACGGTTATATGACAGCGACAAAATGTTCGAAAAATTGAAGACAGCACAAAAAAGAACTCGATTCTACAGTATCGACAGCAATGGAAAGAAATCTAAATAGAATAATGAAATTATAGAGTAAAACTTGGAGGAGAATACAATACGATACATTGTGCATGCTTACCTTTATAAATTACAACACCAGTTACGCTTCCATCAGGTTGCATAAAAGGCGATCATTTTGTCAAATTCAAATATCAATACTTAAAGTAAACGGGTAAAATTAATCAATAGAAAGTGCGATCTACATAAAATAAAATCGTTTAGCTAACTACGTTAGATAAGCTTTTTCAGACTTTCTCGCAAACTATTTTTTATTCGGCCAGCTTCACGTACCTTGACTCTCGGAGTGAGGGTCCCTGAGACGGTTTCCTTTTCTCCTTACTTTTGTGTATTCTGGTTCTTTTCCCTGTAATAAAAATAATGAACATTTAGCATTAACAGAATGTAGACTTTTCTTTATGGTCTATTTATACATAGTATGAGGAAAACGGGTCCAGACGTGGTACCTTGTAGAACTCCGTCTTTCTTTGCTAGTTTAAAAATGAAATAGGCCGTGTACAAGTAATATAAACTTTTGCTGAGCTTTCAAACGGGATACAATTCAACGTAATTTTAGGGGATTATTAATAAAGAATTATTCTCACCTTATATTTATCATTCTGTTTAAGATCGTGATATACAAAAGAGCCCCTAACAGAATGATAAGGGCCACTGTAGACATTACCGCTGTAACTGCTTTCGCTGTATGCACTTGGCTTGGTTAATTGGAACGTGGCGTAGGGACAAATGTCTTCAATGTATTCTGAAAGAGATAACATAATTTATTATTTACTTTTGATCAGATATTTATTTAATGTAATATTTTACATATTTCTTATACATATCAATCGTCAAGGGACGTTCGTTAGCCCATTATCGATACCGATGAGATTTCAATACTGAATTTTACTGAACCAACATTATTTTACGTTTATTTTGTTTTATCTACGTTAAAAACTATATTTAAGTAAAAAAAAACGTTACCATTAGATGCATGTTTGTAGTGGTGTGGTGGGTTCGGATGATGAGCGCGCGCAGCTAAGTATTGTTGATCGCGATTAACTTTGTTTTGAAGCTGTGCGACAGAAGGAGATTCTCCTACGCCGCTTTCAGTAACAGCCGTTTCAGTTCCGCTCGTCTCTGCCGGGCGAGGTGCTATATTATGTATGTTTGTTTATATTGTCAACATCTAAATGATCGTTTACAGTGAATGTGTTAATTGGGATCTCAAAGGACCAAGACATATGTACCAATTTTTTTTACTTTGTTTTATTTTATATGTACCAATTATATTGAGAGCTTTCAATTTTCAGTTTTCCAATTAAGCAGGTTTAAATTATAGTTCTCTCATTTACTGACGCCGCCACGTTTATTTGTAAACAAACATGTCCCAACGTGTTAAAACCTGATTAATTTATCTCACTCATACAGGATGATAATGATGGTATGTCAATTGAGCTACAGAGCCTCAATTATGGGTAAAAGTTGAAAAAGTCTTGGAATCCCAATCTCATTTACCCGGGTTCAAAAAGTTCCATTACCAGAGGTAAACATGAAAAATAACCGGTACCTCAATTCATCCAGGTCCCACTTAACCAAGTCTCACTGGATTAGATACATAAGGTTTATACTTCACTATAAGTTGAGGCACAGTTATCTGAACATATTCTTGTTTCATTTGATTTACTCATCACGCTGCTCTATAAACATGTCTGAGGTCAGTGGTATGAGAATAATGTTGTGTACTCCAGTGATCTACTTACTATTTCTTCTCACTAGTAGAACAATTGCAATAAGGGCAGCGAGTACAAGAAGTGAAAGTGCCGCAGGTAGAATGACTCTTGCACCTCCTAAAGATCTTGCACCAGCCGCTGGCACAGCAGGAGATATTTCGCCTTCTAACACTGAAACAGTTATAGAAGTAAATTAGGTCCAGTAACAAATGGATTAAAGTAGATGCGTGAAATGTGTTACTTAAATTGACGATTAACAAAAAATCTTTGGAGCAAGTTTATTACAACATTGTGTTAATGACCAACGTGTAGCCAAGTTGGGTATTACTACATATATCAATTGAAGTTATGAAAACTTACTTGTGGTAGAAAGGTTTAGTTGAATGATATTTTTACTTTTACATCCATGTTATATTTTTGCTAATATATACTAATATTATAAAGTTGAACTGAGTAAGTGTCACTGGTTTTTGTGTGGGACATAACGTTTGTCGAGAAAGGCTTTAGGTTCAATATCACGCCGCGAACTACGTTGTGGCGCGCTGCGAAAACGGTTTAAGAAACCAAAAGATTTGGATGGAAGTATCTTTTAAGAGTAACACACAATACACACAACATTTAATGCTTGGGGAGATTGTTTGCAAAAATAAATTTGGACGCCCCTAAACAAGTTCTCCACGCGGACGAAGTCGCTGGCACAACTAGTTTAATAGAGGACATAAATATATAACAGATATAATAATTACTGTAATTACGGTAAAATTTGATGATGATGACATGACATGATTTGTAATAGGGAGAAAAATTATCGCAATTATCTTACGAAAATTAATTTGTACTGTTGTGTAAGAATTATGTTGACATTTTTCGGTTAATGTGCTCTTGTAGATTAACATTTTTGGACTACGAAAATATAAATAACTCAAGTCATACATTTGCAGTTAGGTTACTCTGCCTTTAGCAACCTCAATTGAAGTTAGAGAAAATGTACAATATTAACAGTGCTATTTCCAGAGTTGTTCATTGGTTTAACACAAATAATCTTTTGCTAAATGAAAAGAACACTAAAAAACACCTCACATGCAAGATAAAAACTTACTACCGCTGAGCGAGTGAGTCGTAAAGTTGTAAAGTGCGACTGCGTGGCCCGCGTTGTTATGGGCTGTGATTCGCAGTTGGTAATGGGTCGCTGGAGTAAGCCCGGTGACACTGAAGACTCGTTCTGTCGCTTGCACGCTGTTTGATACCAAACGCCACTGGAATAGTTTATAGAGATGAAGAGACAAGTCTATCCGAATACCCAAAGCTAACATAGATCGACAGCACATCTTGTTTAGATGTTATATGGTTGGAGTATTTTACGTCCTATCAAATAAACCTCAGGCTTGTCTGTCCCTCTGTGTTATTAAAAAAAGTCGGAAATAATGTATTTAGCGAAAAGGGCATATGTTTGTGCATAGGTTTAGTTTTTGACGGGCACGTTGGTCTAATAGTAGCAATATGGTCGTAGGTTCGATCCCTATCGGCTCCAACACGGTTCTAATTAAATACTGTCTATAGTTTACGCGAGTAGTACACATTTAAATAAAACACTTTACCGGTTTAAAACGCGATATGTTAGTCTAGGCCTAGAAACGTCGGGCCGAAGTTAAAAATCATTTTCAAATAAGTTTAACTTATATATCGCGTTTTAAACCGTTAAAGTGTTTTATTTAAACGTTTCTAATTTTCAATTTACAATCTTTATGAAACATGGCAGAATTTTTGAAAATCTCGATGGGTGGTAGAAATATCGAAAATCCGTCCGGGTCACGAACCACCGTCCACGCATGAAAATGAAGTTTAATCGCGTTTCGATTTCAGTCTGTCGATTTCCGAATATCCCAAAAAAAATATACGTCGATAGCACATCTTGGTTAGATGGTATATTTAAATACGGGACTCGGACTTGTGCAAAGCATCCGAAACGTAGAGCCAAACATAAAATAAATTGCGAATAAGTTTAGCTAATACATTTCGCATTTTAAGCCGTTGAAAGTGTTTTATTTAAATGTGCACTAATCTCATAAACTACATACAGTTCTTCATTGTTATGATTTAAAGTATAAAAAAGCTTACCTGTGATTGACTAACTTCGCGATACTCAATAACAAAGTACAGAATACCACAACCACCATCTCCCCAAGAGTCGAGCCAAACAGTTACTGTCGTGGTGTTTAGCGTTATCATTTGGGAGTGCTTTGGTTTAACTGGTACTGGAAAAGATTAATATGATTCTAGTTAGCAAAATAAAGTATCAAAAATATTAAACTTTTATCTGAACAATTACAATTATCAGTCATAATTGTAATTGGCGAGGAAATATTTTCAAAAGTAAATTAGTATGGTTAAGATTATAAAATAAAAGTAAAGTTATTAGTTCGACTTAACGGTATAGCAAATGTAATAAAGGCTTTTTGAAGCTTATTATCTTGTTAACCAATCAATAAAGGAATTAGATGATTGGAACAAACAGGTGGTTGTCGCTCGACTTGATATAAAAATCTTTAATAAGCGTTCGAAATCAAAAATACTTCCAGGAAAACCCGACTTACCAGTTCCTTTAGTATAGGCGTGAACTATGTCGCATGGCAGGCCGGTACCGATTCGATTGAAAGCCGTGATGTAAAGTTGGTATCGCGTCCCACACCATAAGTTTGGCAGAACGTGTTCAGAGGTACCGGCTTCCACTTGTAATTCTTCCCAATCGCCGTGTTCGCGTTTATAATTTATTACGTAACCTGAAATAGAATAACAAACCACTGGCTTTTTAAACCTTTAACAAAGATCTACAGGCAATTTTTTAGATTACAGTAATATTTTTAATAATGTACCCAATATTATTAAAATATTGCCATACTCACAAGCTAATTACTCGCCATGTAACAACAATCTTTTCTGAATAATAAATGGGTGGTAGGAACATCGAAATTCCGTCCGGATTACAAACTAACCGTCCATAAATGGAAAAGACGTCAAATTTAATCGCGTTTCGGTTACAGTCTGTAGATTTCAGAATATACAAAGGAAAAATAGGCCGACAATGTAATTTGTAGTTATGGCTGGAGTATTTCACCTACTATCAACTGAGAACGCTTGTCTGTCCTCTATTATAAGAATACCTATGTAAATCTAAGTTTGGCCCCTGAATAACTCAGAAATCCCTATATTTTAGTTTTACAATACCTAATATTGGACTTCCCCCATCTCCCTGATCACTCCACTGAAGATGAAGAGAATCAGCGTAAGAATCGACCACAGCCAGTACGGGTGGCTGGGGTGGTACCTTTACTTCGACTATGTATGTAACGTCATCATGGCCGTGTTGGTTTTCCACTAGACACGTGTAGTTGCCGCTATCAGCGTACTGTGTCATGCTGTGAAGTTAAAAGAATACCATGAATTCCTACTGCTGAGGGTTGAGACCCTCCCTTGTACACGAAAATTGACAAACAGTGTAAGTTACTTCTATATATTTTAAAGGACTTTAATTTGTGTGTGAAATCCCGTTTCACCCCCGAGGGGCATGGGGCGAACACATTTCTGTGTCCGTTGCACTGATCCGTTCTTTAACAGGCAAGTAGTGGATCACACATCTGTTGCCCTGTCCGAACGAAACATTTTTTGTTTCCCTGGGATTTGAACCAAGAACCTCTCGTGCGTAATGCAATCGTTACGCACGTTTAACCAACCTGATTAGAAGTAAGTAGTACAATAATATTAACGACTTTTCGTACAGGGATTTTAATTTAGTAATTGTAAAATTAAAGACATTATACATCTTGTACTTGCACAAAGAAATGTATAATTAGATTGAAAGACTTGAATATATAGCTCATTAAATCAATTTTTTTGTGAAAAAGTGGCGTTATCTTTGATTTTTTCTGCTATCTCCGTATATAGGATGAAAAACAAAAGAACAATAGAGAGTATACTTCAACAAGAGATTGGGAGAAAGTGATACAAATTTGAAATTAGAATGTTAGTTATATACAAGGTACATAGAAAATAATCAAAATATCATATGCTCGTCTGTGCTCTATCATTAAAAAAAAAAATCTTATCTAATATATAATGCATAAAGTCAATTGTTTCTCCTTTTTACCTTATTATGAGAGTGCCATCGTTTGTAACGTTTTTCCTTAGCGTCGATTCAAGAATAGCCCCATTCATGCTCCAGGTCGTTGAAGGTATAGGAATACCTACTTTATTACATGATAGAGAGATATTCTCCTTCCAAGGTGTTACTATGCTACGGCTGAAGGATGTAATCCTTGCGGGCACTGAAATATTAACTTTGTATTAATAAAAACTATTAACTATTTAATTTTGCAATTTAAAACATATTCTTGGACAATTAATATTTAAGAGCTTTATTCCGTGTTCTAACTTATTTATCCGTATTTTAAGTTTAAAAAACTAACTTAGACCACGCAATTTAACTCATCACAAATTGAAATCTGAAATTACATACCTGAATCAGAGGGTAATACAGTGACTACCCGCGTAGCGTCACCTTCCCCAAGGCGAGTGGATGCCGAGACCCAGAACTGATGAGTGGCTCGTGATGGGGAACGAGATGTCTCGTGGGTGAGAGTACTTGGAGATAACATCCTCTTGTGGGTGCCCTCCTGAAAAGTATGTACATTTAACGCGATAACACAATTACTTCCATCACAGTTTACTTAGTTTTATAGCCTATTATAACCTTCCTAGATAAATGCTTTAACTAGGAAGGTTATATATTCTAACCAGTTCCTGAGATTAGCGCGTTGAAACAAACAAACACACTAACTCTCCAACTTTATATATTAGTGTAGATCTGTAAAATATGTCTTACTCACCTCTCTACCGTCTTCTATGACACTCATATAAAGCGTATATCCCACGAGTACACCATTAGGTGAAGCTGGGGGCAGCCATGATACTAAAATCTTATTCCTTGATGATACTACGGCTTTGATATCGGCTGGCGCAGAAGGGACTAGAAGATGAACGAAACTAGAGTTTATCTTTATTACACGTTTTGAATTATTGAATTAATTATAATAAAAATTCTTAAGTCTCTAAATTTCACTTGAATAAGTATGCACAGCGTCTACTAAAGTTATAAATACAGTTCACAAAGCTTATGAAATATTTTTTTAAACTGTTATCTACAAGTCCAAATTATATTGTTCGTGTAAATATAAGTTAGGTTATTTACAAAAAATGCAAACATACCATCTTCTTCAGTGTGGCAATAGACGGGAGCAGCTCGTACTCCATCACCTGCCGCGGTAAAGGCGCACACCGTCACCGAATAATTCGTATATCGTCGTAGTCCCGATAGCGTTGTATGCAGGCCAGATATTTGCTTGGTAACTGAATCTTCACTGCCTGAAAATACGTAGTGTAGTGAAAATAAGAAATACATAACATACAGGCTTTTTGACGGGCTCGGTCAAATGGTAGCAATGTATAGCTAATAATCAAGGGGTCACTTGGTCGCGAGCCCCACCGGGTCCAACATTATTTTAAGTAATTTATAATTTTTCTGCAAAATGGTGGCATTAAATGGGTTGGGAATTCGAAATTCCGTTGGTCACGAACCGCGGACCACAGATGAAGAGGCCGTGCAGTTTAAATATATCCAGTCGGGGCAGCGCATCTTGTTAAAATTTTATATGGCTGGAGTTTTCATCCACCATCATAAAAACAACAATATAACTTACCATACCAATCGGTAACAGGGGCGTATGTTACCCTGTAACCCTGAAGAACTCCGTTTCTACCCCGCATTGGTGGTGGTTCCCAGTTTACTCTGACTGACTGCGAGCTTAATGCAGTACAAGTTAGCGAGCCTGGTGGTAAGCTGGGAACTGAAAATGAAAATCTTATAACTTCACCGGTTATATAAAAATTTCTTTATCTCAAAATATTTTTGTTCTTAAATTGTAACGAAGCGGTAACAATAATAGATCGTATTCATTGCTATCTAAAATATGTATTTTTTTATAATATACAAACAAATGTTAAAATGGGAATTGATTTTCACAAGGCTATTGATTAAGTATTTAGCGCTTCGGTGGTTAATTTTTTACCATCCTCCATAGTAGTGGCCGTAGTTGGAGGGGATGCGGGTCCAGCACCACGACTGTTATATGCTTGAACAACAACAGCGTAGGGCGTGTGCTTCTGCAGTCCAGATAGCGTGGTACGTGCTCGGGAGCTACCTGTGCCCTCAACTGTTCTAACAGTGTACGAAGCACCTCCGGGACCGCTTGCACTTAAAACGCTGCTGTTACTATTCAACTGGTAGAAAAAAAAAGATATTATTTATCATGTAAGTTAATGTTAACCGTATGTGTAGCTAAATGGTTAATAGTGTCACCTAGCGATAAGCGCGAGAGGTCCTGGCTTCGAATCCTGGTGAAAAATAGATAGTTTTGGTCGGGCAAGCTACAGAAGTTTGATTAACTACTTGCTTGTAAATGAACAACCAGTGAAATGGATAAAGAAATGACGGAATTTCACTTTTTACCATGACGTTTATGAAAGGAGAAATAAAGAAAAGAATATTTAGTGCCAAAAAAATTAAAAAGACAGCAAAATACTTCAAACTAGATTCTTAAGCTAAAATTTTGTGACACATCGGGATACACTCAGCTAAATGCTGCACGAAGGGGAACGCACAGCGCTGTTTTTCAAGACTGCTGACGATATAAATAAAAAAAAATATCTCAATTTGTATGCACATAATACGTACAAACAAAAAAGGCCTAATTTAATTTAGGTGACCTATGTCTGTTTTACATCTTCGATTGTACGACCAAAGATGTTCTAAGTCAATAAATGTGTGTATACGTGGCTATTCAATATTTTAAGCTTTATGTTAGAAATAATGTTTTATATTCCATTTATTATGTAAAATGATAAAAATTCTTACTTCTTGAAATCCCACGTAGTATCCGAGAATATTTCCGTTCCATAAATCTTTTTGTGGTGGATCCCAAGTGACTATTAATTCCGTTGAGCTCTTCGCTTCCACTCTTACTTCCAGCGGTGGTCCGCTAGGAACTTTAATAAATATTGTTCATATTTTACGACTGTATTTGATACATTTCTTTACTATATAAGAGAAAAACAAGACTCTTTGTGATTGTACCTTCTTCAGTTGTAGTAACTTGTACTAATTGACTAGGCTCGCTCTGCCCCAAGCGATTTTCAGCGATAATTCGCAAATGATAGGATGTAGCTGGCTGAAGATTCTGCACACTTGCTGAAGTCACGCTGCCAGGTACTATGACTTTCTGTGGCGTTGTTGGCCATGGCTCTGTGGGTATCCCAAATTCAAATATATCGTATTTTTTGACATGTAAAAGAATTACCTTGTATCTCACGAAAATTGCGTAAATACGCAAGTGGATGAAACCTTGAATTAAGAAATTTTAAAATGGAACGTAATAGAACATACGTTTATAGAAAATAAATTCTGTCCTTGATATTGTAAAGTTTTATAATTGAAAAATGGCGCATAAACAATATCACATAATTCTATGGTTAATTGATGTTTAATAATGTTAAACGGAATTTGACGCACCTGGTGCCTCTTTGTATTGTAGAATGTAATTTATGATAGGACTATTTCCGGCATATGGCTGTGTCCAGGATATTTGTATAGATCTCGATTGTTGGTCTATTATCCTTATATTCTTTGGCATTTCTGGAACTTCTTGAACAACCAAATGTATCAGCATTTCATCTTGTCCGTATGCATTGGAAGCTCTACATGTCAAGGCGCCGGTGTCTTGTCGGTATGTCTGTAGTATGCTTAGTTCTGATACTAATCCGTCATCCAGGACTTGCTCTCGAATTGTATACCTAGAAAAATACTTATTATTAAATACAATTTAATTTAATTCAATTGACAATTAAAAGTCAATTATAAATAAAAAAAATTAAAAATCCGAACACGGGCATGGGGTTCTTGAACTGATATCCACAGCGATCCGTGCTGTTTTTGCGTTATTATTTTACAAAAAAAAAAAAAAAAAAAAAAAAAAAAAAAAAAAAAAAAAAGCCCCCTTTCCCCCGCTCCCCTTTAGCCTAAGAAAAAAATTTAATTTAATTCAATTGAATGGCTTGAACTGTTGAATTCCCCAGCATTCCGTGCTGTTGCTGTAACCAATTCAGCTACCGTGTCCTCGATGTCATCGTCGACCATTCTCGCTGGCCTCATTAATTTATAATCGATAATTGTTTAATCTATATAGCGCCATCATGAAAAATATTATTTCAAGTATCCAAACCGTTGATCCAAATGGTGCGCTATAGTATGGTGATGTGGACTTCGCCAGGTGACTTCAAGGGGCGCATCTCCTGATGCAGCACACTGAAGATGCGCAGCCTCACCAGCTGTCACTTGTACTGTTTTACTCTTCATTGGAAATCGAGCTGGAGCTAGGAAAACAATAGGATTTTCTGGTAAAAAAAGGTTTCTCAGACAGTTATTAATGTAGTTAAAATTTATTTGTTATTCGCATCCTTTTAATAGTCTTGTTGGATATAGCTTACAAAACTTGAACATACAGTGTACAATATTAAGTAACTTACTTAGTTTATAAGTAAAATTACATAAAATGTTTTTTAAATTGTTAGCTATCTGTAATATCATGCCTAAGCTTCATTGCAGCTTGGTTTATCAATACTGAAAATACGGTGAAAATCAGTGTTTTAATTTGTTAGTAAGTTTTTTTTAGTTAATATTACGTATTTCTTGAGTGCAACATTTAAATAAATGATTGTAATAATTATTTTTATTATATTTGTGCAGTAGTTCTTGCTTGACAAGATAATCCACCATCAAAGGTTTTAAAAGAATTTTAAATCACAAAATCTTACAAAATAAGAATATATAAAGTCATAAAACGTCGTCTAAATTTTCCCGTTAAAATATTCGCAGCGAAGCTTAGAAAGAAAAAAGCTCGAATTTATTTTCATCGTATCAACACACAGTAACTAAAGGCCTCGTCAGAACACATTTGTTCGGCACAGAAATATATTGACCGTAGAAGGTGAGTGTTTACAGACTGTTGGGTCTTGTGATTTTATTCTGAAACAAGGTTCGCGCTAAGAAAACTCTTTCACAGTGTTACTTGTTAGTTTTGCATAAATCAGACCCTTCGTTGTTTTATTTAAGCGTCACGTATTCCCTTTAATACTTATTAGGGCTGGGCCGAGTGGGTTTTAACCGAAATTCGGATGCGGATCACAAATAAATATTGTACAAAAGTATACAACAACATTCGGAATATTCAAAGGCAAAACAGATCGACAGCTCATCACGTTTAAATGTTACTATTAAGTGAACCCCCATGCTTGTTTGTTCCTTCTTTATTTTACAAATTAAATTGATATATTTTTTTATTAAATAAAAAAAAAGTATGACAAAAATTTATTAAGTATTAATATGAACTGTAGTGATGAATATCTTTAAATGTAATATTAGATAATTTACATATTCTACACATAGGGGTCGGAAATCCGATATTCATTCTAGTATTGGGCATGTCAAAGGTATTGCATCACTGAAGAGGTATAAGACGAGAACGTGGGACACCAAGATGTATAACGTATATACGAAAATAGTGATAGTGCATTGGTTAACACATCATAATGTTTTATAGATACTATTGACTTCTATCCTTTTGTTATTCATATACCTTCCAAAATTTACAACAATTATGTCTACTATAAAACATAATCTTGTGTACTGTATGTCTGATTATTAAATAGAACACTTTAACGGTTTCAAAAAAATATAAAAGTCAACAACTACAGCGCTACGTTTCGGATTCCATCTTCAGTCCCCGCGTTGTAAAGCATCCGAAACGACAGGCCGTAGTTAAAATAAAATTTAAGTAAGTAAGAAATATATTTCACGTTTGTAACCTTTCCGGTTTTATTTAAATGTGCACTACTCGCGTAAGCTACAGACAATACATTATTATTTATTGATACCGAATTTTGTTCGAATACGACTTGACACAAGCTAAATTCGGTTGAACCGAATACTGGCCCATCCCTAATATTTATGATTCAGTTTGTTTTACCAATTCAATTGGATGCATCGGCGAATATCAATGTTTATGAAATCATTTTCGCGTTTTCGGTCCCCATTAATATTGCTTTAAAGAGATATTTATCGGATAGTTTAAATTATGTTGAATGTTGGCAATAGATATCGTACTTTAATATTTTCATAAAATTCTATCTATCTCTATTTTTAAATTTCAATAAAAAAGCTGGCTTGAAGGATTGGCAATTCTATTGTTTATATTTAAAAACAAAGCAAACCTTATAAGATAGGTACCTTTAAATAACAATACTCAAACTAGGCTAAAAATTGGTAACAAATATAACTCTTCAAATTTAACGGTTTAAAACGCGATATATTAATTAAACTTATTTGAAAATGATTTTTAACTTTGGCTCGACGTTTCGGATGCTTTGTAGCAGCTGTAGTCACGGGGAGAGTTAAAAATCATTTTCAAATAAGTTTAACTGTTATATATCGCGTTTTAAACCGTTAAAGTGTTTTATGTAAATGTGTACTACTCGCGTAAACTATAGACAGTATTGGATATGAGACTCGTTTAGTGGTAAACCAATACGAGTTTTTTTATTCATTCAGGGGTGGAAGTTATTAAAATGCCTTTAATCAGGAACACATATAAACCATATCAATATGTCCGCAAGTTGTTAATCCATTTAAGATGAATGAAATATAAAAGACAAATGAAACATCGTAAACATTATGAACAAAAACAGCAACTCCTGTCAGAGTCAAATGTAATGGATGGAGATATATTTGTCCAACAACAGAAGCCAATATTGTCGAATACACACGTATAGGGTGAACTTATTCTTGTGGAAGCCAACTGTCTCGTTTTCCAATAAAGAGGAGACGTATTGCGACGTACGGTCATTGAGTTTTCTGCTCAAACGCGTATCGTTTCCGCCTCCTACAATCGAAGCCTAGATAAAATACTGTCTGTACTTTGATTTCTGATTAAAGGCATTTTAATAACTTTCACTCCTGAGAAGAAATGAATAAAAAAACTCGTATTGGTTTACCACTAAACGAGTCTCATATCCAATACTGTCTATAGTTTACGCGAGTAGTACACATTTAAATAAAACACTTTAACGGTTTAAAACGCGATATACAACGGTTAAACTTATTTGAAAATTATTTTTAACTACGGCCCGACGTCTAACTTTACGTCAGAGACATCCTCCATCTTTAGTAGCCCATGACCATGGCTGCTGCAAAGCATCCAAAACGTCGGCGCGTAGTTAAAAATAACTTTCAAATAAGTTTGATTAATATATATCGCATTTTAAACCGTTAAAGTGTTTTATTTAAATAATCCTATAGCATCTAAAAAAGATGAGCCGTCGATATCGCACTCAAACACCAACGAACCCGGCCTAGTTCCGTCTCATCAAACCTCTCTAAACAGAGAAGGACCGAAAATATCTTTATAGTCTGTAGAAAAATGTAATTATCTTTGTTCTATCTGTGGCGAGTAACATTTGCCCGCGAAATGAACGTTTCTGTTGAATTAGAGTAGGTAGCTATACGGAATTGCTGGCAATTTCAAGATTCTTTTGTTAGACTCCGAAACAAAACGTTTAAATTAAAAATTAATTTGGCTCTGACTCTTTTTAGTTGTGGTCTGAAGCAAGAAATCATTTATTATTTGAATCTGTGGGTTGCGTTAAAGGTACACATTTAACGATTAAAATGCAAACTGACAAATATGTTAGAAACGGCTGTTAGTACTGTGCTTTCAGACAACAGAATTTCTGGGATTTCAATCGAAAATCGATTTTTAATTCATACAGTGCCATCAGTGAAATGTGAAAATACAAAAGTTTTCAAAAGATACTTCACTGTAATTGTTAATAGTAATAGTTAATGGATGTTATTAGCTTTTTTTTAATGAAAGAAGAGGACAGACATGGCATAGGGCTCATTTGAGAGTAGGCGATAAACCCCAGCCTATAGCATCTAAACAAGTCGACCGATTTTGGCTTTAGATATTCGAACCCCACAGACTTAATATCCAGGTTTCCAGAGGATGTCCAGCATGTTTCAGAAGAAATATAAATTGAAAATTAGAAAAATGTTGGGGCTCGAACTCACGGCCCATCGATCATTAGCCATAAATATCATAGACCAACGAATAGCCTGTGATAATATAATGTTAGTTCTATAAAACGATCCGTAATAAGGAATTTAGTTGTAAGCTTTTTACACTAGATGGCGTAGTACAGCTAAGCCATTTAGCGAGTTATCGACACGTCTCGCAGTTCTATAGAATTAAATAAGGGTACGTTAGAATAAAGTTATTCAAGTTTCAGACGTTTCTTGTTCTTGACTCAGAATATCTGCTAGGTCAGGTGTGAATAATATCCCTGTTAACTGCGCGAGTTGGAAGTCTTCAACTTTCTTTTAAAATACTACTTTTAACTAGTTAGTTTTTATCCTTTCCGAGCTCAGAGAATTGGCTTTTAATACGACTCCATTGTTGCACAAACAGTTTTTGTTCTTTGCGAATTCGATTCGTTTCTTTATGAAAGTTACGTGAATAATATTTAAAACATTTATGTATCACTCATTTTAGTTATTACTAGCTGTGCCCGCGACTTCGTCCGCGTGGAATATTTATTTTAGACATCATATTATCATTTTGCAACCCTCAGCTTTATAAATGCGTCCCGATCTGGCATATACATATTAACAGATAGACATATATAATACAGATTTTTTTAAAGATATTTTAAGGAAGAATCATTCCTTTATTCATGTTTCTTGGCTTTTAGAAGCGTTTTTGCTGCGCATGCAACGGAAGCCCTCAAGGAAGAAGAATTTTCCCCTTTTTTCACATTTCCTTCGGTTATCTTGCTCTTATTAGGCGTAGCCATATATACTAAACCTAATTATAACCTAACCTTCGTCGATAAATCCTCTAACCAACACAAAATGACTTTTAATTCGAACCAGTACTTCCTGAGCATTCAAATAAACTCTTAAGTTTTACAGTAGAATATTACTGCAGAGCTTTGAACCCAGCACGTCTCGTGCTTAACACAATAACAGGCGACGCATTTTACCATTACGCTACAGAGCTATATAAAAAATAATGAACACAATACTGTGGATACATACATATTATATTTATATTCCGAAGATATAAAAATACCGCCGCGATAAGAAAAATGAGAAGGTATAAAGTATTTCTCACAATTCGTTAAACGTGGTCTTAATAAAATAATTTTAATGGAAAATGCCTTGGAGAGGCATTAGAAAAATAATGTTCTAAAATACAATGGAGGTAGTCTGGACCGCTATCGGAGCAATAATGAGGGTGAAGAATTTTCATTTCAGTTTCTTATACCAGACATCGAGGAGTGCTATCGAGGCATTCTTTGAGTTTTCACCGAGGCTTTCGTGCCTATTACGCTAAGTGAGTTATATCTACATCTGGATTTGGGAAAGTATATATAAAAATAACTAGCTAGTGGCATAGCTATGCCAGCGACTTCGTCCACATAGAAAAGCTATTTTGAGGGTCAAAATTTGCCTTTTGAAAACGTTAAAGTTGAAAGTGTGTTATTGGAATATCTTTGTTGAACACATGAGGGCGAAACGCCTAATGTTTACTTCTAGTTGGTTATGAGAATAGATTTTATACATTAAGAGAAATAATATTATATTATCATACTTAAAGCATTGTCTTAGGGCGAAGCCATAAGAGGTGTACTGATTTTGTCACTTTATATATATACAGGCTTCGAAATTAATAACTAAGTGTGTCAGCGACTTTATCCGCGTGGCATGGCAGTAGTTATGGCATCTAAATTTGTTTTAGCGCACCTCCTCTTCCTTTTTTAAAAATTCTAGCTGTTACCCACCACGTCGTTCGCGTCTCGTTGTTGTTGCGAGTTAATCTTAAAAGATAGACATATAGTGTCGAGGACATTTTTTAGATCATTTAAAGAACCATTCTTTTAGGTACCTTAAACCTTTGCAACGTCAGCAACGGAATCTCTCAATGATGGATAATTTATCCCTTTCTTCCAGATTTCCCACCGTTTCTTCGCTCCTGTTGGTCGCAACGTGATCTCTCAAAGAACCTTTCTCTAAGTGCTCTAAGACTTATTATAAATAATTTTTCACTTCGATCCACTAGTTCCTGAGATTAGCGCGTTAAAAAAAATAAACAAACTCTGCAGCTTTATAATATTGGTATAGATTAATAGGCTAGTAGACACGAGAATGGAAGCGCTAGATAACTATTAATAATTATTGATCAATACGCTATCAAAAGCTCATCTATTCATAAGCTCAACGTTATTGTAATCACATTAAAAAACATTTGAGTTTGTTCAACGAATTACAAAAATAAATTTGGAATAATCTTATGAGTTTTACTAATTTATAGCCATAACCGGAATTTTGATTTATTTTTATGAAAGCCCGTTTCCCCCTCGTGGGGCATGGGGCGAACACATTTCTGTGTTCGTTTCATTAATCCATTCTTTTAACGGGCAAGTAGTTGATCAGACTTTTGTGCCCTGCCCGAACGAAACAATTTATGTTCCCTGGGATTGGAACCCAGGACCTCCCGCGCTTAACGCAATGCGTTTAACCATTTGGCTACAGAGGCGGTCCACAATCCTACTATCCATTCAATATCTAGACTTTAATGTCCAGTATGTTTTAAATAAAATATATATTGATTAGAAATATGTTGGCCTCAGTGGGGATCGAACCTCCGAACCGTAAATATTAGTCCTACATTGCAACCATTAGACCAACGAGTAGGTCAAAATTTCTCCTTACAAACCTTCACAATTTTTATTCTTAATAACACGCTACGCTAAGCCGTTTTTTATTAGCAATGGTAAAAGAAGATATTTCGCAAGATTTAATTAGCTTTGACAACGTCGGTACACGAAGAATTCCATCTGCTCAAGTACAGCCGAGTACCAATTCACTTTATAAACTATCCGAAGATGAAATACTTGCGCGGAACTTTCCTAAAATGCCGAATAGTTTTAAAGTTCAATACAAATATGAGCAATTTAAAGTTAGCTGAATTATTGATCAAACAGCGAGGAAAGCGGAAGCTGGGAGTGTTCGAGCAATTATACATCTGAGTTGTGATAACTAATATGTGTCTTTCACCGAGTTACAATTATTTCCAGAAACAAAGCTTTTGTTTTTATCATATACTAGCTGTGCCAGCGACTTCGTCCGCGAGAATCTATTTTTGGGCATCCAAATTAGGTTTTGCAAAACCCCTCAATCTTTATAAACTTAAGCCACGACGTCCTTTCCCGTTGTTCTTGCAAGTTAATCTTAAAAGATAGACATATAGCGTCGCGGACTTTTTTTAGATCATTTAAAGAGGAATCATTCTCTCATACGGAATTTTATAGATATCTTGAACCATTTTCGTACGCAACCGAAACCCACAGACATAAAAATTTTTCCCAGTTTTGTTCACTCTTCACGCTGTATCTTCACAGCGCGATGTTTTATAGCCTATAGCCTTCCTCGATAAATGCTCTAACCAACACAAAAAAATATTTTTTTAATTCGTACCCGTAGTTCCTGAGATTAGCGCGTTCAAACAAACAAACAAACTTTTCAGCCTTATATATTGTATTATATTGCTTTGTATATTTGTAAGCGTAATTATATTACGTCAATCTCAATTAACAAATTAAGATTTGTTAATTGTCACTGTCAATGTCAATTTGTAAAACTAAAATCAATCTTTGTAACTGATATTTTTTTTTATATAAAGAAGGACAGACTAGTATTGGTTCACTTCATGGGAGGTAGATACCCCAGCCTATGTAAACAAGATGCGCTATCGATCTATTTTGGCTTTGGATATTCAAACTGCCACTTTATTAGTACTATAAATTTTTGTATTGATGTAGTCAGTGTAGAAAGGCTTATATTTGATACGAAAGAAAGTCTAATGTTTGCTGTGTATGTATGATTATTAGGCCGATCACTTAGCTCAGTTAACATCTAAACATTGTCGACCTATTTTAGCACTGGATATTTGGAAATTCACGGACTGAACCCGAAACGCGATTAAACTTCACGGCTTTTTCATCTGTGGACTTGCCGGTTCTTGACCCGGAGTCCAACATGTTTAGATAAAATATAATTTCCTCTATCATTAAAAAAATATAAACACAATATTGATTTTATAAAGAGGAACATCTCATTAATAAATACTCACCATTAACTTTCAAGAATATCAGCTTGCTAAGACCCGCACCAATGTCGTTTCTGGCCTCACACAAGTAATGCCCTTCGCTATCCTTAGCCACCCTTTCGAAGACCAGTGACCCGTTTTCAAGTACCCTAGCACTGCCTTCGAACATGAAGTCCTTGTACTCTCCTGGCGTATTACCTGATAAATAACATATAAACAATGAATCCCCTTGAATCGAAAATGATTAAGTTTGTAACGTTGACCCCCTGTATAGTGTATTTTTTCTAACTTGGCAAAAGACCAAAACAAATATGACCGATTTTAAACTATAGCCCCTGAAGCCATTATGCCTATGTCGTTGATGCCACAGATGACACAGGGTTAAATAAATATCTATTATATATTGACCAAATAACCTCTGTATTCAAAATTACTTTTATGACGACTTATTATTATTTTTTTATGTCATTGCAAACGTTGATTACGTTTGTAATGTTTTTTAGCGATCGTGCATGAGTGGGACTTCTACCTTCTGTTATCGTTGACTTTGGTTTGCATCTCCTCCTTATGATATATTTGTAAATGAACTAAAATAACTAAAGAAATTTTAATCTGTGCATAAATTCATTTTTAGATTTTTTATTAATTTTACCATGAAATTGTGAGATTGAATTTGAGCTAGTTCATTAGTTTAATATATAATCCAGTATCTCAAAGTATTTTTAGTGTGAATCAATGTAACCTAGTGAGAAAATCACGATGTATAGAATTCATGTAAATTGCCAAGTAAGAAAAAATACACTATAGATACAAATACATTTTTGTACTTATTTGATATAGATTTATAAAGAATTATTTTAAATGTTGGAAAAAAACCACGACAGAGATGAGACCTGAAACCAGAACCAACAGCAGCTAACTTATATGTAATAAGTTATCCCCTGGGATATCATGTCACATCTCTTATAGGCATTATGGTGTAAAAATTATAAATATTTCTGTGACTTGAACGTGGTTTCTTGTTTAAGAAACTACTATATTTCAAGTATTGTCCCTAGTTTGTGACGCGAACCCTGGAGCTCTCGAGCTAAACGCAATTCTAGCATGTTTAACCATTTAGCTACAGAGATTTAGGAACATTAGGACATTTAGGAATTACTATTTGTAGTTGTCGCATTTTTATGATATTTTTCATTTATTTTAATGACATATAATATAATGTAGTCTTAGTAGGTCACCATTTACTTTTTCCTTACTAGAAAAAAGTTGAGCAAACAATACGCGCGCCCTGGATATATTTCCAACTAATTCGCTCTTGTACCATTCTAGTTATACTTCGATAGGAATATTGCTTCTTTGTACTGCACCTAAGCATTGAAGAAAGAAATAGTCCGCACAAAGAAAAACTTGTTGCAAGTATTTCGATTCAATTCCCTTTGTCAACTCTTCGTATAACGTACATTTACCTGTAAAACTTTAATGTCGTAATATTTTTATGAAGAAACCGTTCGTTTTAAATAACTTCGAGAGCTACTTTCCCAGGGAAATGTCTGCGAATTCCTCTTCGTACGTATTTTTCTGTGTGAATTTCATATGGCGCTTATTGAATAAGGTGAGGGATGGAAACGATATTTTGTATAAGATAGAAGACGTAAGTGTTTTACTTATATCTTTGTAACTTTTATATAAAACACTGTTACGGTTTAAAACGGGAAATTTATTACTTGAACCTATTTTAAAATTATTTTAACTGCATTTGAACTTGCAACTGAAATTTCTGCAAGAACTCGACCAGTTTCGCCAAATACCAACTACGAAGGAACAGATGGCGCTAGCGTAGCAGTTTCTACTATAACATTAAAGACATCTCCCTCCATCTTTCTCCGTCTCCCCATGACTACGGCTGCTGCAAAGCATAACGTTCAGCCGTAGTTAAAATAATTTGTAAATACATAAGTTTAACTAATTTATTTCACGACTTGGTTCGTTTTTTTATTAAATGTGTACTACTCGCGTAAACTACAGACAGTACTTTATCATTGTGACTTACAAACGATTAATGACGTAGAGTTTGATTTTACTCGTGCTTTCGAACCCCCAACTATAGTGTATCATGCCAGTTAAGCTACATTTAACTAAAAGTATTGATTGAAATAAATGACATACCAACGGCTTTCTTCCAAGTAATTGTAGGTTTGGGATAGCCGTCCGCTTGGCACTGCAACGTCACGTCTTGGCCCGCAGCGACAGCTATGTCGCTTGGCTCCAATCTCCATCTAGGGGGGACTGTAATTGAAAAATAATTACTACCTCCATGGAAGACGTTAATTAAATTTGTTGGAATTCTCCCGCTTCTAGCTTTTCTCAAATGAGTTGTGACTTCGACTCGTTGGCTTTTCGTTAATTCCTATGATATAGTAATGTTTTCGGAATAGATAAAGTAAGGTGTAAGCGTAATTATTTATAATTTTCTGATATTTTAAAAATAAAAGACTTAGGAATATCGAAATTCCATCTAGATTGCAATCCACTGTCTACAGGTAGAAACCAGTGTGTACGCTTTTTGGTCTTGTAACCGAATGCCAAAGTCAAAATAAGTCGACAGCGCTCGATTTAGATATTATAGAGAACATTCTTAGGAAGTATAGAAAAATCATATCTATGTTATTTTTATTATGAGAAATATATTTAATAGTTGTATAATTCTACAATTACAATAGTTGTTATAATATTTAGAATAAGCTATTCATATTTTTTCGCAATCCTATATCAATAAATAATTTCGTATATATGTATATAGATTCAAGGGGTGTTTTCATTAATTGGTAATTGCGAAGTTTACTTCTTTATACTAATTTAATAAAGTTGAAGAGTTTTGAACGCGTTTATCTCAGGAATTCGAATTCGAATTGAAAATGATGACCAACAGGAGCGACGTAATAGTGAGAAATGGGAAATCTTTACGTGCGATGCAAAAATAGTTCAAGATTTCGGGATGTCTTTAAATATGTATAAACAAAATAATTATACTGTTAGCACCAAGAACCGTTATGGTAACCAAATATGATCGAAATATTGGCAAAAGAACGTTTGCCCGGTCAGCTAGTTCCAGGCTTGAATGGCACGGCTTACACACGCCGTCACGTGTAGCAAATAAACTGAATTACCATGAGCTGAAGGTGATTATTGATCGTTGCTTTCACACGATAGATTACCGTTAACAGTCAAAGGCACTGTGAACCGTTCGGAGCCGGCGACATTTGATGCGATGCATGTATAATTTCCGCTGTGGAGCGAGGTGATGTGCTCAATCACCAGGGACGCGCTGTACTCATCCATCCGACGGGTGATGATGCCGCTAGGGGCATACGGCGATGACGTCACCGCCTGACCATTCTTCTCCCAGCGAAACGCAATCGGCAAATCCCCCTCCAATATCTGGCATGAAATGGCAGCCCTCATGCCCTCCCTTAATAAATTCGTCAATGGCTGGATGGGCAGTATCTTCGGCTGGACTGAAAACAAAAAGGAGACGGTGTAATAAAAGCAATATACGTTTAATAATCAAAAGATGGGCTCGATCTTCACTGGGTCCAACATGTTTTAATCACTTTATATTTAAATCACTTTAACGGTTTAAAACGTGGTATATATTAGTAAACCTTATTTGAAAATTATTTTAAATACGGCCCGACGTTTCGGTTGCTTTGCAGGAGCCGTGGTCATGCGAGACGTCCAGACCCAGAGGTCAGAGAGACACAGCGTTTTAAACCAATAGTGTTTTATTTAAATGTACTACTCGCGTAAACTACAGACTGTATTTAATTACTTTATATTTTTTCTGAAACATGTTGGACTTCGTCTGGAAAGCTCGGATAGTTTTATAGAACTAACATTATGTTTTCACAGGCTATTTGACAGACTCGTTGGTCTAATGGTAGGATTGTATGGCTATTGATCAATGGGTCGTGGGGATCCCCAACATGTTTCTAATTTTGCTAAAACATGCTGGACTTAGTCTGGAAGCCTGAATATTAAATGGGGGGACGAACGAAATTCCGTCGGGGCTACGAACCACCGTCCATAGATGAAAAAGCCTTGACATTTAATCATGTTGCAGTTGCAGTCTGTGGATTTCCGAATATCCAAAGCCAAAAAATGTTTAGAAGCTGGGGTATTTCACCCACCATCAAGTGAACCATATGCTTATCCGTCCTTCTCTATCAATAAAAAAAACTGTATTCTTCGCGCCACATCGATCCCCGGTCCCAATTAAGCTCTCTAAACAAAATTTTGGCAATACACCAAAAAATTTCCACTTCGCCGGACGTTACGACTAATTAATACGAGATTTAAGCTCTGTTTATCGTCGTTTTTAATGTAGATCCCAGTAGCGGAGGCTAAGATTTTTATATTTTATTTTATTATCCTATTAAGGCGGGTTAAGGTGGATGCGGCGGGAATAACAAGCGCGCGAAGTTTAATGAATTACGGATGAATAAGTTCACTCGGAACCTGCGATTTTATGATGCGTTAAAAATTTTCCTTCGAGTATTTTAAGAGTTTTCAACTTCCCTGTAGACTTTATATCTACAATGCTACGTATTTGTCGCTATATTTGTAGAAATACAGAGTAAATGCAATATTAATTCAATATTAAATGCAATAGAGAGATTATATCTGTAACTTAGCTAGTATAGAAAACTTGAAAATAAATAGAACCCCATTTATAAATAGCCTAAGTAGATATTGTTGAAATAAATCACTTTAACGGTTTAAAACGCGATATCGCGATATATATGTCGGAGAATTATATTTTTAGTACCTACTATGTGAATTGCCACCACATTGATGTTAGACATAGTGTACTCTGTGGTAGGTTACGGTCAACTGTCAAAATTGACAATCTATCGAGTCAAGTCACTGTGATCTGTAGGTCAGTAGTGCGATTATAAAGATTCATGCTCGTGAACTCTTGAGGGCACTTGCGTGGAAACGTCGCCTGACTGATAATAATCCAGGCGACTACGAGGCAACGAATTCTTTTATAATTTCCGACATATATTAATTAATTATATTTGAAAATGATTTTAACAAGGGCCCGACGTTTCGGATGCTTTGCAGCAGTCGTGCACTTATAACTTAATATATATCGAAGTTTAAACCATTAAAGTGTTTTATATTATGTATTCGCGTAAAATACAGACAGTGTTTAGAGAAATTGTTTTAAGAATACTTTTGTTAGATCATAACCACAGCATTAAATTCAATGTTAAATGAAGGCTATTAAAAATAAAATTTACGACGTAAAAGCTTTACCTAAAAAAAGAATACAATCCTATCAAAGCGAAAATATTTTTTTTATTATACAAGGGGAAAAAGAGAACCGAAGATCAGAAGTTGAAAAGGGTATTGATTACTAATGAAGACTTAAAAATTGATATACAAGGGACTCCATTTCAAGTAATCAGTTGAAAATATTGAGAATAGTTACTTTGTTTAGAATTATTGCAATTATTATGAAAAAAATCATTAAATTACTACAGCGATAACTATATATTCTTAATATAAAAAACGCCTCCGTGACTCAATAGGACCTAGTTTCAAATCCAGGGGAAAGATAACAGTTCCGGTCTAGCAGGGCTAAAAAGTTTGATAAAGATATAGAAATTTTTCTGCACATTTTTCTTAGGAAAATCGTAATTTCAAACTTTAAAAAAAAACGAATATAAAGTTTAAATAAAACAATTTAACGCTTTAAAACGCGATATATATTAGTTTAACTTACTTTAAAATTATCTTGACTACGGCCCGACGTTTCAACGAGCTGTGGTCACGGGGTCGCGTAGGTATTTGAATTTAGTGTAAAAGGTATTTACCGTAGAATAAAGTGGAGAGAGGTTTCCTCTACGAATATTCGTTATACTAAATTACCTACCCAATATTTGCACCTCCACATCTCGTCTGGCAACATGGCGTTGTCTGTTAGTCGCTTGACAGGTGTACGTGCCCGCATCTTCGCCTCGTTGGGTCTGTTCCACAATCAGCGTGCCGTTCGGGAACACCTTTTGACGTCGATTGAGGGGTAGAGTTTGTCCATCTATAACGCCATTTTAATATTAATAAAGTCCTTAAGTAACAAAAAAAAATATTTGAAGATGAATTTGTACTAAGAATTATTTTAACAATTTCCGGTCACTGTGCTCCTGTAGATTTTAAGACTATAAAAATATATATAAGTCAAATCTTAATATTGAATTAATTGCATTGCAACTGCTGTAATGCCAGACTTCCTAGTTCTGTTGTCAGTTTTGGTAACTAATCTTTAAAGATATTAAGATTATCTATTTCAGTATGAAGGTAACTTAAGTGTAGATGAAGACTTGTTCCGTTATCATGACTGTTAAAATCGTTAGAATAAAATATTTTAACGGTTTTAATCGTGATGTATATAAGTTAAACTAATTTGGAAATTATTTTACTACTTCCCGACGTTTCGGATGCTTCGCAGCGCCGTCTCACCGTGACCACGGCAAAGCCTTTTTAAGCGTTTAATATATATAAGATGGCCGCTTTAACATATTAACATATCGTTAAATTTGACAATTACTACGTTCACGGATGGACATTATTCAATTTTTTAATGATAATTTCGTGTGGGATGGTCAATCGATTCGACGTGTAATACGTCACAATGACAGCTTGTCAAAACGTCAGTCGGGTGTTCCATGTACCCTCATAAGTATTTATTTCTGTCTTTTTTCCTTATCTTATGGTACCTCGGCGTTAGAGCAACAGCACAAAACGCTACGAGTTTGAGTCACACGTGTAATTGTAATTGTTTATAATTCAAAGTACATATGTTAAACAATGTGGATAAACGTTATATTTTTAACCATAACAAACGCATTCAAACAATAATTCATAAAGTATTTTTCATTTACTTATATGTATTTAACTTGAATTTTTTAAACAAACACACAATTTATATTAAATCATCATTTTTTCACAAGGTTTACATTGATTTACACTGAAAACACTAAGAAACACAGGCTTAAATACTGAACCTATGTAACTACCTGAAATTCATGTAGTAAAAATTAAAATTTTGTTATAAATTTATTAAAGAACCTAAAAAAAGTATTCACGTAAATAGGCAGATTAAATTTCTTTAGTTTGCCATTTACATAGGAACGACAATAGAGAGAAAATCCCACTTAGGCACAATGGCTGCAAAGCATTTGAAACGTCGAGTTATATAATAAAGATATTTAAAATTAAAAAAGAAAAGGTCGTCATAAAAACGATTTTGAATGTTGAGGTTATTAGACCAATATAAAATTTGACATCGTGGCATCAACTACACTCTACAATAGTTTACCATGGTTTAAAACAGGCCATATTTGTTTTGGTCTTTTCTCAAGGTAGAAAAAAATACAGTATTATACATTTTAAGTATCCACAGTTTTCAATCTGCAAATCATTCGAAGTTCTAAAAGCTATATTAAGTTATGGACTGTGAGCGTCGCTTGATAAAAGGGGCAATAAATTCCCACCTATATTCTGACGAACAATAAAAGGGAATAGAGGGCACCTAAATTATTTAAGAGGCAACTAAATAAAGTCCTATGTAAAAGATAAGATCGTTGTTGACAAGGGTCTCGCCGGAAAAGGAAAATTACACGGGAGTGACCGAAGTGCCTTAATTTGATCTTACGCAGTAATTCTGTTAAACGAGCTAAGCATTTTATGGTCGGCCATTTTTCTTTTGATACTTTTTTTTTGATCTGGACGAATGGTTCAGGGTACTGATAAGTTTTTGTCAGAGCCAAGTGCGTTTACCCGGAAACTGATTGATGCTTCATAGTTATCCGTCTGTTTACAATTTTCTATTGGAATATGAGATGATAAATTGCTGGAAGAAAAATGTACTTACTGTTATTTTTACACTAGCTGTGTCAGCGACGTCCTCTGCAAGAATCGTTATTTTGGCCATCCAAATTCGTTTTTGCAAACCCCTTCATCTGTATAAACTTAAACTGTTTCCAACGACCACCCATGAGTTCGGTCTAGTTCCTTCCCGTCGTTCTCGCAAGTTAATTTTATAAGATAGACATATAGCGTCGCGGACGTTTTTTAGATAATTTAAAGATGATTAATTCTTTCATACATATTTTTTAAATTATCTTGAGTCGTTCTCGCAGCGTACGTCTCGGAAACCCATAATGATGGACCCATAGTCTCATCGCGATTTGTTATAGCCTATGGCCTTCCTCAATAAATGCTTATTCCAACACAAAAATACTTTTTCAATGCGAACTAGTAGTTCCTGAGATTAGCGCGTTCAAACAAACAAACAAACTCTTCAGCTTTATATCTTAGTATAGATTTTGAAGTTTCAATTTATCCTACAAACATCTATTTTTATACTGAGTGTATTGAAGTTTAAAAGGTTTTTCTGATTAGACATAAGTCCGTTTACATACTCCTATTATGTACAGTATAAAGAAATATATACAACGTAACCTAGCCATTATCTATATATTAGCATGTTTGTGCTATTAACATCACTCAACTAAAGCGTAGGCAGAAGTTTGTTTCTCGTAGACAAAAATGTTTATATTTGATGTCATCTTATGTCTTAGGTTAAGGAAAACATCGCAAGTTAACAAAGAAATACAAATTCGACTACACGTGTCATATCCTCAGCGTGATAGACTAACATTTAACTTAGAAGGCCTGTTTCTCAGTACTGTAACCATTACGTTAAAGAGTAGATTATACAGTGTATAAAATATATAAATGACGCACGAAATTATAAAACTTTTTCTCAACGTGAATCAAAGGTAAGGCTTTGAAATGTGTCGGGAAAAACCACGTCAGCAACAACTTAAAAATTCCTCCCTTTATTGGATCGTGCAGGCACGCTTGTTCGAAGATGGCTGTCACGCGATTTCTTATCATTAGGGCTCGCTCATAGTAAAACGCGACGAATCTAAATAAAGCGAGAGCGGACTGTAGTCTACGCGAGTAGTGCACAATTAAATTTTTACTACAATAACTTTAACGGTTTTAAACGCGATATATATTAGTTAATCTTATTTGAAAGTATTTTAACTACGGCCCGATGTTTCGGATGCTTTTCAGCAGCCATTGTAACGGAGAGACACACGGTCTCAAAATAATTTTCAAATAAGTTTAACTTATATATATATGGAGTTTTAAACCGTTAATGTGTTTTATTTAAATAGGAGAACGGCTACACTGAGCAGATTTAAAGTTTTTGAATAAATCACTTTTAACGATTTAAAAGAAATATATGAAATGTAAGTAAACGTATTACTTAAACTATATTTTGTATAAGTTATTTACGCCGCGTTTCGGATGCTTTGCAGCAGCCGTGGTCATTAGTACCGTACTAAATTTAAAGTAATTACTTTATTTAATTTACTGTACAAAAAATACTAAGGTGACGCCACGGGGCAATAGCAAATTCAGCGAAATTGCAATAATTAAACGTGTATCTTTTTGTGTAATAAAACAAGTTGCATTTTGTATCGCTATTTTATAAATTTCGCGACACGTCGCGTCCCAGTCTGGGCTGATCTTTACATGATAAGCAGTCCCACTAAAGCTGTTGGTTTTTATATTTTATAACGTTTTAAATGTTCCTTAAAAATCCTAAAAAAGTGTTCCAAAATTAATATACGGATCTTGAACCCACGTTAGGCTAATCGAAACAATGCATTGATTCTCTGGTAATCGAACCCAATATATTTTGTAACGTCTTGTACAAATACTTGTCTTGTACAAATTTAAAACACACGAAAATAATTAATCAAGTTCTTTTAAGAGTTAAAAAAAGAATCTAGTTACAAAGAAAATAATAGATGTTGTTCTGTTCGTTAGTTTAATTAAATTTATTATTCCGTTTATAGTTCTCCAAAGATTCTATACAGGTAACAAAGTGTACTGACATTTTAAATAAAAAAATCCGAACGTCTTCGTTTACTTAACCCACTTTCTTTACCTGTTGCAGAGAGACTCCTGACCTCCCGCTTAATTCGATATACTAAAGTGTCCTCCCGGGCCCGTTTAAACGGTAAATACACGATTTATTTTGTGTATTGGAGAATTGACAGAACACGTTTACAGTTTGGTAATGACCACAGATAACAAATATTTTTTGAATTACATGTTAAGAATCAATAAGTAGAGGTGAATTGTTGAATAAGTGCTTTAAATTAAAATGTTATATATACAGAAATCCTATATTAACATAAAATTATTATTACGTCAAGTATAATATAGAATGAGTGATAAAGGAAGGGGGATTAGATTAGGGATTTCCGTGTATATAAGCCAATGTAACTCGTCATATAAACGTTTTGTACCGCAGGTTTAATTATTCTTACTTTTATCTATCCAGTGAAACTGAATTCCTAACATTTGTTCTACCTGTTGTAATCTGTCTATAGTCTTTTGTATTTTGTGTTCTCTTACTTTTAAACTTGTAATTATTTTTTTAATAGAGTGTGGTTTCTCTATAAATTCAAATTCAAACGATTTATTGCGCTATTTACTGTCTATGAAAGAATTAAATTCTTCACATTTGATAGATATTATTTTTTGTTATTTGGAAATTGTTTTACTACAATTCGTATAATATACTAGTAAATTTATTGTGATAAGGCTGTATAACAAGATAAAAAAGTGTATGTTATAAGCATAATATTATTACCAGTACAACGCATGTTTAAAGCTTCTATTATTCTACAGTGTGCTGTAGCTTCAAGTATACAACAAACGTCCGAGTTTTGGCGCCATACCTCTTTCCCAGGTGATAGATTCAATTGGATATCCGGCCACTGGACATTTGATATTCAAATCGCTGCCGGCGACAGCTGTCACTTTGGGCATTTCGCGAATGTAGGGCAGCCCGTAGACGTTGACCCGTGCCGCGTGGCTCGCTTTTCCCGCCGTGTTGCTGGCAACACAGGCGTACTCGCCGCCATCTTGTTCTGTCACTCTGCTAATGTTGAGATGGCTTACCACGTCGTCTTGTAATGTTACGTGCTGGCCGACGACAAACCTAGTTTTTTAAAAGACAAATTAAGTTTTATCTGTGGCACGGTTGGTACATATTGAATTAATTGTTGTTTATCGCAATACGCAAATTATTATACTCGTAGGTATTTATTTTTCATTTACATATAGACGTATAAAAGCATTAATAACTCGTATTTTCTATTCAATAAAACTGTTGCAAAAAGTTACAGTTGCTGTTAAGACACGATTAAAAGTTAATGTACATTTGATCAATTTAATTTTATTTAAACTGTACAATATTTCCAAATTTAAATTATTTAAAATAAAAAACCACTTATTTAATTTAGAACAAAAATGCGAATTAAGTAATGTCATATCGTCTCTTTAGTTAAAAATATTTCCATACTTATTGTTTTTGACAATCATCTTCCGTTCTTACCTAGAGTTGGTCGGTATCGGAAATCCATCTAGCGTCCACGAGAACTGGGGAGGTGGGTGTCCCATAGCCACACATTTCAGAGACACGCTCGGGCCCGGCTGAAGTGTCTGCTCGGAAAACCAATAAACTAGCTCCGGTTTCGATTCTACAAACAAAAATAATATTTCTCTTAAGTTTTATACAATTATTATCTTACTTATATAGAATCAGTCATGTAATTACAGTTTGACTACAACAACGCCCGACTTCCCTGGAAACTGGAGCTGTGGAAACGGTGATATTAAAGATCTGATGAAAGTGTCAACACACATTATATTCCTCCTAATTATTTCATATTTATATAAAATAGTTTTTAAACGTTTGAAACGCGAAATATAGCTATTAGTTAACTTATTTAGAATGAATTTTAACTACGGTGCCACATTTCGCATGCTATATTTTTCTTCTTTCAAACCCATATAAAGTTTTTATTTTAATGTGTACTACTCACTACAGACAATACCTACGTAATAATTTTGCGAACCTAAAACGGTAAAGATTCAAAATATCGTAACTAAATACTTAGTAAAATTTTTTAAGTAAATATTTTATATAAACATCGCTGTAATCTTGCCATGTTTTTATTATTTATCTCTCGTATTTAAAAAGACTATTGTCACCACAAATTATGATATAAAACATTATTCTGACAGCGCGCTTAATGCTCACAAAAATAATGTCGCAGAGAAGATGAATTGCCCCAAAATCTGGATAAAGCTGTAAGTCTGATGAGCACCGCGCAACATTAATGTCTAGATACTTATTTTAATCTCATTTCACTTAGTGGTTTGTTAGGAACGCAGTAATTTATCACTTTGCGACGTATCTCGCGTTACAGCTGGTAAGAGATAAGAAGAATAAACCCATTAATTTCCAGCGAGCTGAAAGCACAGGTCTCGTACAATTTGCGTATAGACTAAGTAGAGATAGTGAGTGGTGGGAGAGCTCGCCAAATCCGCCCGGAGCCGTTCGTGGCACGACCCCGCTTACGGCTAATACTGTTTTTCATGAAATTACAAAGTACAAAACGGATTTGCCATCTTTGTTGTGCTAATTTTATTATGCTTGGCGTTTCTGTTGGAAAATTAACCAAATTTTTTGTGATATGAATGATTTTCTTCGTGCTTTAGGGTCTCTTTTAAAGATTTCCACTAGTGGCTAACTAATCCAGGCCCTTCCTTCACTTGTAAAGGATCTGGTGACTTTTTTTCAATCATTTTATGTTATAAACGAAACTAAACTATCATATACACTAAATCGCCGATAAGTCGCATCCCGTCTTTCTTGCAAGTTAATCTTAAAAGATAGCATATAGTGGGTCATTTTTTCAAATCATTTATAGAGAAATCATATTTAATATATATATCTTGTACCGCTGTCGCAGCATACGCAACGGAACTCCTGAAATATCAATATAATTTAGCTGGTATTCCTCGCGTAGTGATGTTTTATAGCCTTAAACGATAAATGCTCTAAGCAACAAAAACTTATTATTTTTTAAAATTCGAACCAGTAGGTCCTTAGATTAGGGCGTTCAAACAACCAAATGCTTCAGCTTTAATGTTTAAGGTATAATCATTTGTCGTAAATATTACGTATTTGAAAAAATAAATGGGTACTTTACCATTTCCCAGTTACCTCTTTACCTCTTACCCCTTACCTTTACACACGAACAAACCTTTCTGTTCTTATAAATTCCGAAACCATAATAAATATTAGGTAATAAAATATACCTGAACTGGCATTTAATATTGCGGAAAAACATTTGTACGTTTCATGTTAACACTAAGACTAATTTATTACACGAGAAAGCTAGTTAAGGTCGTCGGAAAGTAAACAGATTTACAGTATTAGTTTGTGTTAATTTACGTAAGCAAGAGACTGTATTTTACGGACGATTCTGCAGGTATACCATTATTTACCTTAAATACTGTCTATAGTTTACGCGAGTAGTACACATTTAAATAAAACATTTTAACGGTTTAAAACGCGATATATTAGTTAAACGACGTTTCGGCTGCTTTGCAGCAACCGTGGTCACGGGGAGACGGGCCGAAGTTAAAAATCATTTTCAAATAAGTTTAACTAATATATCGCATTTAAAACCGTTAAAGTGTTTAATATTAATTATTAATTATTTTTTTAACGTTTAATTTTTCTACTTTGTAATTAACATAGAGATGTCATAAAACAGACATATACCGCCTGTTTTAAATCAATAATAATTCTATTTACCTACAATAAGGCTATCTTTACCTAGTCGTAACAAGTTTTCTTTGTTTAACTGGGATTCGATATTTTGTGCTTCAGTTTTAAATGCGTTACCAAAAGTAACAAGGTAAGGTCGTGGGTACAGCTTAAGTCTAAAAAGATGAAGGGGTTTGCAAAAACGAATCTGGATGCCCAAAATAATTCTCGCGGTCGAAGTCGCTGACACAGCTAGTCAATAATAATTCTATTATTGCTTCAATCAAAGGTAATGCATGAAACTGACTTACGAAAGCGGCTACTAAACTACTCATGACAAGTTTTTATATAGCAATTTAATTAAATAATCTACTTATTAAAATCTATATTTAAAGTATTAAATATTAATTAAAAGCTTACTAGAAGAAAGGCAGTTAATTAAAGCCCCATCATAGACATTTGTCTGACGTCTGACAACAATGACGAAGAGTACAAATGACTCTTGTTAACAGAGGGTCCACCTCTTGCATAATTTATGTAACTCCTCTATCTAGGATCACGTGTCTTGTGTATTGAGTTTATTCATTCAACATTAGGTGTACAAATAAACCAAGAAATAGTTTTCCCCATTTCCTTTGTTTTTCTTTGGCTTATGTACAATTACTATAAATGAAGTAAGATCTGTAATTAAATAAGTAGCTTCGTGGCAATTTTTAAAAATGTTTATTACGTATTTTGGCTCGGGGCCATTAATACTAACCGGACGTTCTCGGGTAAGGGTGCCCCGTGGGGGGCTTGGAGGAACTGAGCGGAAGCTCACTCTAGTAAGTGAGGTGCCAGTTAAATAAACTAGATGTTTTAAATAAAAAAAAATCATACGCCCAATTTTAAGTTACAAATGTTTCAAGCGAGAATTCAATATAATATCGATTACTTCAATATTATATAGATGTTTTATAATATTCTGACTGCTTTTGTAAATAAATGTTACCTAGCATTGCGTTGCGCGAGGTCCTAGATTCCAATCCCGGGGATACAATAGATTTAAATAAAACACTTTAACGGTTTAAAACGCGATATATTAGTTAAACTTATTTGAAAATGATACGATAACTAATATATCGCGTTTTAAACCGTTAAAGTGTTTTATTTAAATGTGTACTACTCGCGTAAACTATAGACAGGATACAATAGATTGTAATGTCGGGCTAGACACAGAAGTCGTCAGAGATCAACCACTTGCCTATAAATAAAACCGATCAGTGTTTGCCCCATGTCCCACGGGGGTGAGACGGGATTTCTCTTTTGAATTCTTAGACTGAATTATAATTTTTGTTAGATTATCTATGAAGGTTTCGTTTCGTTTCGTTCTCCTATTTTGTAGAGTATGTTCTACGGGGTCGTCCAATTATAACATATCATCCATCGATGTCATTGGATTTCTTTTTATTTTAACTTGAGCTTGAGGAATAGAGTGATAAATGAAACTATTCCTGGATCCGAGATCGAGTCGTGAAAATACTATGTGTTTGAAATCATTCATCACTTGATAAATGAAATACATTAGCGATTTGATATTACCAAAACATTTAAATAAAACACTTTAACGGTTCAAAACGCGATGTACATTAAACTTATTGTCTTCGCGTGTTGCGTGACCATGACTGCTGCAAAGCAGTCATGGTCACGCAACAAATAGGTTTAACTAACGTACAACGCTTTTTAAACCGTTAAAGTGTTTTATTCAAATGTGTACTACTCGCGTGAACTACAGACAGTATGATCGAAATCTATACTAATATTATAAATGCGAAAGTAACTCTGTCTGCCTGTCCGGATTTAACTCCGAAACTATTGAACTGATTTAAATTAAATTTCTACCCCAAGTCACTACTCAACGCGGACGAAGTCGCGGGCACAGCTAGTACGTCATATTTTTTGTATATATATAACTGACTAGCTGTTACCCACGATGTCGTCCGCGTCCAATCGTTCTTTCCAATCAATCTTAAACGATAGACAGAATTGTCGTGTATATATTTTTATCATTTCGAGAGGAATCATTCTTAAATACAATTGTCAATTGTCATTGCTGTCAAAATCTTAGTCATGGACATATTTGTGACGTTATCACTTTATAACGTCACATATTAGTCACGACAGCGAAAAGATTACTCCAAACGGCACAAAGAATGTTAAAAAGGCTCCTTTCCCAATACACAAGACTAATTAAACGAAACATTAAACAAGTCATTAAAGGACTATATTTCTATTCCGATACGTCACATGTGTGCATTGCGACAACCCTTCAACCCTCAAGAGCAGCGACACCAAAAAGCGGGGAGCAAATTAATATCATCACAAAATGACCTATGTCTTCAACATTTATTAGGTAAAAACAACCTTAAGGTAGCGAGATAGGATCTTAATTGGGGGGTTTTGTGGTTTAGTACATAGCTACGCCCTTACAACTGGGAGGCGCGCTCCGTCGTAGCTCTTTGTTTGAGCTGGAGAGCTGACTCTAATAGCTTGCAGCGGATCCACGCTTAAAAATGGACTTTTAAATATTTTATGATGAAGGAAACGAGAACGGATAAAAGTTGACGGCGTACTTATTGAGTTCGATACTCGCCCTATGTGCTATGGCTCAAATTAAAATACTGTCTGTAATTTACGCGAGTAGTACACATTTAAATAAAACACTTTAACGGTTTAAGACGCGAAATATATTAATTAAACTTATTTTAACTAGGTACGACCCGACGTTTCGAATGCTTCGTTATAAACGTTTTATACCTACCTAATATTTTGTGCCATTGCCATGCTCAAAATATTAGGTCCTGATTTTTATATAGAACTAGCTGTGCCCGCGACTTCGTCCGCGTGTAATACTGATTTAGGGTAGATTTTTATTATTATTTATTGACTGTTTATTAATTTATGTAAGGGCACATTTAAGGCAGCCAATCTATGTTGTAAGTCCTACTTTGCCGCAACACTCTAACCTCACATCACTCCTTCTCTAACTCCCACTCATTCCTACACTCACTCCCACTCTCACTCCCAATCCCGCTCCTATTCCCAAAAAGCCAAAAAAAGAAAGTTTCATTGTTCTTGCTTCACCACGAATTTCCATACAAACTGTAATCCTCTTCAACCCTTTTATGGCATTAAAAAAGTAGCCTAGCCTTTTCAGGCTCTAAAATATCTGTGTACCAAATTTCATTTAAATAAGTTCAGCAGATTCAGACAGACAGAGTTACCTTCCCATTTATAATATTAGTATAGATATACAATGATAAAAATATAAAATCCCTTATCATAAAACATATTTATAGAAAGTAGAATAGAAAATTTACAATAAAGGGGATTTTAAAATAACTTATTTTGGAAAGGTAAACGGTAAAATTACGTTACGCGTTACGCTTATTACTTGATTTTCCTTTTATCTTACAAATGCAGAAGTCGTAGACAGTAGTAGTAGTCGCAAACAAACTCATGTTTTTAGTTTTGAAAGATTTTTCCTATAGAACATGTAAATTTCGTACTTCTTAGGATCGTTTTAACTTAAAATATGACCTGGATTTTTAAATAGAAGGACCTAGAAGAATTTAGGTTCTGTAAAGGCTATTAATACCTAACAATAATTTCTAAAAGTATTCAAAGAATTCAACTCATTCCTAATTACCTAATAACAAAACTTACAGGATCTAGCTGAATCATTTAGTCACTGAAATAATTAAGTTTCATTCGAATAGGATAACCCAATTTGCTTCTGAAAATAAGCTTCGCTATGTTTATCGTGATAGCATTAGAATTAATGAAGTTATTCTTATTATTGTATGAAGCGAGAGTTGAGTTAGTTAACGATATGGAACTAACTAATGTACGGTCGGGACTTGAATTTTGGACTATGTACTGAATTTCGACGACGCCTTTTTTATAACGCGTTTAGTGTGTCTCAGGTTTTCATATTCCTATCAGGTCCTAATATTCATTAAAATTCATGAAAATGTAAAATTGATAATCATGACAAATATAATTTTATAAGTAGCAAATATTAAATTTAATAATAACACACTTTATTGAACAAACAAATGGCAATACAAGAAAGGACTAAATCATTTCCATAAACAGTTAGTGCACAACCGGCCTTATCGCCTATGGCAATTTCTTCCAGGCAACCTTTCTTTACAGGAGAAGAAAAGAAACGATTAAGAGTAAAACTCAATAAGATATAAGAAGCATGGAATAAATTGTATTTTACAAGAATAATAAATACTAACATAACATAAATTGTATTAATATAAACTTAAGTATAGTTTATAAAATAAAATAATATATAGAAAAAAAAATAACCTATACTGATTCTTAAAATATATATCAAGAATGGTCGAGAGGTGTTTGTTACTTTTCGAAATCAGTAATATCTGTAGTTTACGCAAATAATATTTTAATAAAACGCGTTTAACGGTGTAAAACGGGAAATGTTTTAGTTGAACAAGTTTGGAGCCAAACGTACCTAACCTCTATTAAAGCGCTTATCTGATACAGGATATTGGCACCCGCTGGTGTTTTGTTTCAACCAAATACCTCTTCGTCGTCAAAGCGCATACAACTCGAATCACAAACAATTCAATTCCTCTCCAAATGCGTACCTATTTCGTACGTTTCGTTTCTACTACACTTTGTCCGATATAGGATGAGAAGTTTGACATAGACATTCTTAATGTAAACATAAGCTACTAAAAATTGATAACTAGAATGCGGAAGTGTACTTATATAGGAATTAGAAATTGGTTTTATATTTAATGCCATCAAGTGCATGTAAGAAATATTTAATTGTTTATTATGTAATATAAATTTCTGTAAAGGTAGATTAAGACTACCTACTTTTACTATAGTAGTAACCAAATATATCTTAAGTTTGAACTAACGAACTTATCATCCTACATTAAACAAAGTATAGATACAATACAATACCTCTGTTCCCGGTGAAGTTCCAGTCTGCATCATGAGTATGAGTGCTGCGTGCGTACGGCGCTCTCCGAGACCGATTGCCGACGGCTCGTTTGCTCTCCGACACTGCAAAGAGACATTTGCCTAAAACTCTATGAAGATTTCCTAAAGCTGTGTTCGCTTTGATATATGAAAACACACGTGATATAAAAGAAACACTTGAGCACCAAAATCAAAAATAATTTTACATTAAAAAATCAATGACACGAGCGAGATTTAATACCACCACACCAACTAACCCAAAAATACCCAATCGTACTTATTAAAGTACAATCCATTTATACAAGCAACCCTCGTATAATGTTATTTCAATGTCCTGTGTTTTTCAGCGTAGGAATCAATTAAAAGAAATTACAAAGCTTACATTGAATTTATTGTTTCAAGCTGTTCCACCTTATTAAGACTAATATTAGTGGAAATCTATTATATTAGGTATTTACTTTGTTTGATTACTTATTAATAGCGAATACCTTTATTGTTATTAAAAGTTAACTTAAAGATCCTCAAGAGCACAAAAGAAATTATAATAATAATGAGTTAGATAATGAAAATTGAAGGTAAGAATTAAATTATTCAGAACATTTCCAAAGTCATTACAGCTAATTAACCCACAATTGGAGCATCTCACTCCAATTGTGGGTTCAGTAAAAGCAGGATTCAATTAATTTACAAGGAACTGAAAATTTAAAATAAACATTGATGGCTTTCAAGATATTAAAGAAGTTGTGGTAAATGTAAGGAAAATAAAACATTTGCTTATGTGAAATGGAATAAGTTATTAGCGTCTAGCGTTAGGGTGGGTACTGACCAAACGCTCGTAGAGTTATGTAACACGTTACTCATATAATTTTTTTATGATTCTTTGGCTTTTATACTCGGAAATCCACAGACTGAAAGCGAAACGCGATTAAACCCAGATTCTCTATCAGTGGATGGTGGTTCGTTTATTATTCAAATTTTCAGTCAAGTCCATTATGATTTAGAAGAATTATAAATTCATTTTAAATACGTTGGACCCAGTGAGGCCTGGGAGCATGTTTGCTGCAAATGCTCGAGCATTTAGACAGTACCCAACTTTAGCGACAGCTTTAGAGAATAGTAAGATAATCTAACCTTCAATGAGAATCTGCGCAATGCCATAAGCCTGATCTCTCGTATTACTAGCGAAGCATTGGTAGATCCCCTGGTCGTTCACTTGTGTGTTTCTGATATGTAGCTTCAGCCTGTCTTCTGACACCCACATTCTCTCAGTGTCCTTCACAGGTTTGCCGTCGTGTATCCAATAAACAACTTCGATCGGATGGCCAGCTATTTTGCATTCCATGCTAACATCGACGTTTAATTTTGTTCGTATCGTTTCGGGTTTTATTCGGACGGAAATTGGTTCTGAAACAAACGTGATTAATGGATTACGTGATTATTTAAGGTGAAATCAGCGTTTGGCAGATGTCACGATTTTTCGTATTGTTTAATTATATTATGTAAGGTTCATATCTTTATTTATCATCATTACCTAAATACAAATAGAAATCTATTTTTTAAACTTTAAATAAAACAGTAATAACGCTTTAAAACAAGAAATATATTAAATTGTGTAAGGCCGTTGTAACGTACGGTTGTTCGGCCGACGTAAACGAGAAGAGGTCGTCGATCTTTCAATTTATAAATATTAAAGATAACTAATATCACATGAATTATATGTAATTGCTAAGCTTAATAAAGCTTAGAATATTAATTAACCAACGGAAGATATCGTATTACATTAACACACATTGTTTGTCTAAGAACGTTACTGAGCTCAGTATTATTATCGAAGATATATTCAACACTTCTATCATTACTTAGCGCCATTGTTGTGTAGAAACGATTGATGGAAGCGAGTTTTGTGGTTACGATTCGATTTTTGAAATATTTATGCGACCCAAAAGTCTTTGTGTCGGCGAGGGATTGTCAAGATGTCGGATGTGGGACACTGCGGTTATATTAAAAGTTCCACAAACAAGCGTCGTCCTCGTGTGCTTCACCTCTCAGCTGCAGTTTCTATTTCTGCGTATTTTTAAGGGCCTACTACGCAGCTAGCACTCAAAAACATTCTACAAACTACAAGAACGTTAATTCACTCGGGACATCATTCATTTTGTGTGCCATTAGTTGTTCACATTTTATATAGCAAAAAAAAGGTTATTCGATTTTTAAATTAGGAGCTAGAGATAAGGGGGTTGGAATATGTAACTTGTCAATTTAGTAAAAATCAATATTTGCTACATAATTACTGGCTGTAGTTTACGCGAAATGTACACATTTAATTAAAACATTTCTAACGCTTCGAAATCTGAAAATTTATGTAACATATTTACAATTTATTTCAACTACGGCCTGACGTTTTCGATGCTTTTGTTTTGATTTTTTGGTGCAGTTTATTATTTTAAATGGTATACAATGCGTCTGTCAAGAAATTGTTTAGTAACATACGATATCTATTTGCTTAATTCTTTCTATATATTCCTCTATACTTTTTACTAATGTTTTTATTTTCTTTTCTTGAAATTCAATATACATAAAATATGTCTCTTAAAGGTGTCGGTTGCTTAATGTGTTACAGAGTACATATTCATTTACAGTTCAGGTCTGAAAATACCTTTTGTGGGATACATACCTGTCACAATCAACGAGAAATGCACGGATTCTGTGCCTGCAGTGTTATTTAACCAGCAGACAAATCTGCCCGCGTCTTCCCTTTGTACAGACCGGATACTGAGCAATCCGCCCAACGTTTTCACACGAGGCCATATTGAAGTGTTTTCTATCGGTACTAATTGATCGTGGTGTTCTCGGAACCATCTAGAAACAAAAGGGAGAAGAAAACTAACATTAGATTTAGTTCTTTAATTACGTAGGTTAATTTTTTTTATCAATTAGTAAGGTATCGAATAACCGTAATAAATATTAATATATACATAATACCTAAATGAGAATTAAAAATTTATGCGCAATTAAATATTTCTAGCCTATATATATAAGTTAACATCTACACGAGAACAAAATTCACAAACAATAGGTCTTCCATATTCTTGATGATACACATTTTATATTCTGTAGACAGTAAAATAAAACTTGGCGATAAAAGGAGTAGCGGTGGGTTTCTTGCTAGTTCTTCTCGTTCTTTCTACGCCCTGGATTTAAGATCTCGTAGCAAATGTAAAGTTAGATTTTCTAGTTTACGTACATGAATACATGATTTTTGACTTTGACTTTGATTCCAAACGAAGCTGTGTTATGGTGGTTCTTTTAAAAAAGATAAAAATAAATTTTCTTATAAGCTTTTAATAGTAAAAGTTCATAATTGTTGCACCGTGTAACCACATAATATTCTTGTTACAGCGTTACAGACAACTTGAAACACGCAACACGAATTTATAAAACTTCGTACACTGAAACAAATTTCACCACGACCGATATCGTAAATACTTTGAAAAGCTGCAGTGAATTTTAAATTATGTAAAATCGAGCTCACATTTCCGTCCTAGTACTTATAAAGCTGAAAGAGAAATAAAAACTAACGCTGCACTTTCGCTGTATTAAAAATTGAAATCTGACGACGTTATTACTTCTATAACGGACGTTTCAACCTATTTATATACCACTGTTTTATGAACATAGACTCACCAACCCAGAGCCCCTGGTAAGTTAACGGGCTATAATGATTGTCACCACTAACTAATTAATCGGGACCTGTACCTGAATCTACCTTACGTGCATATTCTTTTTCATAGAGTTTAATTGCTTATACCCACCACGTTTTCCCAGTCTTGGTTGACTAGGGTTTTTACGATTACCACTACTAAAAGTGAAGCCGGAACCCGGCTTACGTGGAGATTTTTTTTTTCATAGATTTTAAGGGCTTAGACTCGCCACGGGATATAAAACCTATCACCACTAAAAGTGATAACCAGGACATGCCTTACGTGCTCTGCGTGGCATGAAGGTGAAGACATGTATTGTACATACTTAGAGCTGGGAGCTTGGGAGTCGTAAAAACGTGTTCCTAGTACTTCTTCGAAAGTATCGTACTTGTGGTTTGTTTAGTGGTTCTGGTCGACTATCGCCACCGAAGAGGTTGTAGTACAATTTACCACAATCTATGTCATTACTGCCCGACGTTATTATTTGAAAAATCGAAAATAAATTGAAAAAATGTTCGACTCGGGCAGGGCTTGAACCGGCATCGTCAGCGTTCCGTGCTGTTGCTCTACCAATTGAACTACCGAGTCCTAAAATTGTCTAAAATTGTTAATCTACAACAGCACAATGACTGAAAATTGTTAACATAATTCTGACATAAATAATAGTGCAAATAAATTTTCGCATAAGTTAATTGCGCGTTTTTTTTTTCTTATTGAAAATGATGTTTTTTGTTATTGAGCTACTCTGCCTCTAGCGGCCTCACTTCCAGATGTATTTTTGACGTTTGATTTTATTGTTGCGAAACTTGTTCAATAGGGTAATGGAGGCTGTTCAACTTGTGCCAGCGCTTTCAGAGGCAAAGAAGAGGCAAGCAAATGTCAACTAATCCGGCAGCAATTTCCCGGAAACGAAATGGCTGAGGTTTGAAATCTCCAATGTTCCGCGAGTTAGCTTCCCTTTTGGAAATAGTTTTGAAATGCTAAGACATTTGAATTCTAAAGGATTTTTCCGTCTGGCGTCTAAGGAATATTGCGCATGGAATTGCGTAATTTTCTTTTATAGAGAAAATAAAGAAACTGTGAGAGTGAAAAGTTTCCTCGCTGTAGATATGGACTTTAAATTGAAAAGGTTCCGTGACAGTTCCGTTGCGAAAGTTGTAACGAGGTTAAGTAAGAAACTTTACATTAATGGAAAGAAATAACGCATAATCTATATTCTATTAATAAATATCTAATCTATATTATTGTCTATGCTTGTTAACAACGCCATAGCGTACAACGAATGATGGTTTACAATTATCGTAAATATTAAAAGTCAATTACAAATATCGATATATATTATATATTTTAAATAAAACACTAACTGTTTAAAACGCGAAATATATTTGTTAAATCATTTAAATTTTTATTGAGCGATATATATTTGTTAAACTTATTCGGGAATTATTCTGTTACCCCGCGACCACAGCTGCTAAGAAGCATTCGAAATATCGGGCCATAGTTAAAATAATTTCTAAATAAGTTAAACCAATATATAGCTATCGCGTTTTAAACGGTTAAAGTGTTTTAAAGAACCCCCTGTTATATAGAAAATAATAATAAAACTCTTGATATGTGAAATGTATATATATAGAATTTATGGCTTGATTCAAACTTTGCATAGCTATCCATTAGGTTGAAATTGTCATGTAAATACATGTTGATATAAATCCGAGGTAAATACATTTACGAGGGTGTAATGCCATTTTCCAGCTTCAGAGTCAATTGCTTCTTCACAGTTAAAACGTATCACGGGTCGGAATTATAAAATTGTGGCGAAATCTCAACGCGGGATCAAAACGAATTCGTGACTAAATGGGAGACCCAATTTGGAGGGTAAATACGTAATGATTCAATGTCGGTCACGTTTTATAAATTGCCCACGGCTTTTGATGGACGGGGTAAACAATGGTCGAAGGTTCGATAGCGAGTTCGTAATATTCTTTTACGTTTTATTTAATACTAGCCAGCGACTACATATATACTGACCCGGACATTTTTAGAGAAAGAGAAATCATTCTTTCGTACATATTTTTTGGGTATCTCGAACCCTTTTTCGCAGTGTAAGCAACGGAGAACCTTAAAGTGGGTTTTTCCCATTTAATCACAGTGTGCTGTTTTGTAGCCTAAAGACTTCAACGATAAATGCTCTAATTAATACAATACTTTTTAATTTGAACCAGTATTTCCAGAGATTAGTGCGTTCAAACAAACATACAGACTCTTCAGCTTACGTAATAATATTAGTATAGATATGTCGTGAAATCAGAAGTATGTACATAACTTACATACTACATAACTAATATGTTCCACTTTATTTGATGTGACATTCCACATGTTACTATTAGTCGTGAAAATAATAAAATAGTCCTAGTCGAATATTTAATTTATAAATGATCGTCTCTTGTATACGTATTGTCTGTAGTCTATGCAAGTACACTAAAATAAAATTAAAAATAAAACACTTTTAACACGTTTAAAACGCGAAATATATTAGTTAAATTATTTACAATTTTATTGAACTACGTCCTGACGTGTTGTCGTAGTCGAGTGGTTGAGTGAACTAACGAATATATTGTGTGTTAAAAGTGTTTTATTTAAATAAAGTATGTTTATTAAAAAAAAATATGGTTATATGATCCACAAAAAACTGGAAGCTACGAGGAACGTCATATTTACTGATATTGACAAACATGAAACAATTTTAAATAAGCTAAAATTATGTTATTAGTCCGTTGATTTGTATTTTTCTTTTAATTTATTGGGTACCTCTTGCGTAAAAAAAGAGATATTTATTAATTTAAGTACAACTCGTTATACGTAAAATTAAGTTATTGTCAGTTCATTTTAGCGACATATAACCGTTGTCAGCTGTACATTGCGTATCATATTACAAATATAACCAACTAAGTTTAAGTTGTGGTCGATGCACTGTAAATACCGCATTGTTTTCAGACTTCGTTTGCTCCCGACAGTTGCACTCCGTTGCATTTGTTTGCTCGACAAAGATGTGATACGTGTTTAACTTGTCAGTTGCACGATTTTATTCGATAAAAGGATTTTGGGAGATTTAAAAATATATGGTAGAAGCACGGAAACAGTGGATAGACTTTGTTACCATTTGTAGTGTTTAATAGTGCACCTTCGAGGTTTTACTAAGTACCAACACAGGATTTATACTAAGTATTCGCAGTAAGGTAAATTTACATTAAAAATCGATGCCACGGGCGAGACCCGAACGACAACGGTGTTTTGTGCTGTGCCAATAGTCTCTCGTAGAATCGAGTCGAATCGTAGATCTTTAGGTAAATCTGAATAGAAATATTTATTTATTTATTTAATATGTTTATTCAGAAGCAACATTTACTTTATTTTTATTAAATAAGACAATATAGTTGCCTGAAAAGGAAACCACTCAGCTACGTTGGGACTGATGTCCCGACACTAAAATTCTAAAGCCTATAGATAGACGTTATTTAAAAGTTCCTTTTTCAAGTTTGAAACGATATTTTATTTTCCATATGGCTTCTATGCTAAATTTTAAACTGAATGACGGTATTATTTGCGTTTTATTATTAAGGTATATATTTATACTAGCTGTGTCAGCGACTACATCCGTGAAGGCGTTATTTTGGACATCCATATTCGTTTATGCAAACCCCTTCATGTTTATAAACTTAAGCTGTTGCCCACGACGTCGGTCGCGTCACTTCCCGTCGTTCTTGCAAGTTAATCTTAAAAGATAGACATATAACGCCGCGGAATCATTCTTTCATACATATTTTTTGGGTAGTATAAACCGTTTTTGCAGCGTACCACTTGGAAACCCATAATGATAAATAAGGTTTCATTTTTTTACATTTCTCGCTGTATCTTCGCTTGTAATAGACACAGGGCGATGTTTTATAGATATAGCTTATGGCCTTCCGCGATAAATGCTCTAACCAACACAAAAATAATTGTTCAATTCGAACTCGTAGTTCATAAGATAAGCGCGTTCATGCATACAAATAAACTCTTCAGCTGTAATATTAGTATCGATTTAGTACTTGTCTTATATAACTTTACAGGCTGATTAAATTTTTCTTGCTCTTAGCTAGTGTTACAATATTGTCGGTATATATAGATATAAAAAATGATGTTTACATAATTTAATATCGTAATAAAAATGTATTATATACGAATTATATATATGAATATCTTTACCTGTAAGTAGGAACTGGCCAAGCATGCGCCACGCACGGTAACCGAACGTCGTGTCCAATTTGCACTCTGCGCGTGCGCATTTCAACCGCCACTCTAGGCCTCACTTGGCCCTTGGGTTCTGTTACTATTACGTGACCTAGATGTAAAGATACAATACGTAATAAGCTTAAAATAGTGCGTGCTATGCTAAGTTGTATTCTAATACGACAATAAAATATTTTTACGCAAATAACGACTTCTAAACTCAATACGAGTGAAAAGGTCTTCATTACTATTATAATTTTGAGAGTCCATTTATCAATGGTTTAATGGCTTTGATTATAGTTAATAATTCGTTTAACTGTCCATTACAGGAGACCTTACTAAAAGTAATTATCTTAAAGTTAAATTTTAGTCTTCCACTGCTATTTTATATTGTAAACAAAGATAGCTGTAAATATAATTTTATTAGGTATGAAGTTAAAAATCAACATTAAAAAATTATATGGATACTGCCTATAGTTTACGCGAGAAGCACACATTTAAATAAAACACTTTGACGGTTTAAAACGCGATATATATTAGGTTAACTTATTTAAAAATATTTTGTATATTTACACTATTTTACGAAATGTCTGTCCGTAGTTAAAATTATAAAAAATAAGTTTAACTAATATATATCGCGTTTCAAACCGTTTAAGTGTTTTATTTCAATCTATTTGATTTATGGATTTTAAAATACTTGATGTCTATACAAGTCTGGCAATACTTCAACCAGCATGTACAATGATCCCTGTTGCTGCATTAAAACAGTTTTGAAATAATGCATAAGATCTTACCATAATATTGACTAGAATATGTATTATCTGTTATTCTATCGCGAACACGACACCGAAACACGGTGTACCGGTCATCTGGGCTGACCGCCGCTATGTATAAGGAGCCGTCATCTAGACGTTCGTAATTTGGACCTGGAAATAATAAGGAAAAATAGAATATCCCCAAATATTGGACACAGGTCTACTATTAGATAATTTATGTCCAAGACCGTGTAGAACTGACAAGCGTAGGTTTCACTTGATAGAAGGTAAAAATACTCAACATATTTCATGTCCAGACGAAGTCCAACGTGTGCCACAATTATAAATGGATTTATAGAAACATGGTCGACCGAGTCCATGAGATTTTTATTTTCACTTCCAAGTTTCTAAATATATCCGCTAGGGGCGCTGTTGAACTGACAGAATAGAAGTAAAATCTAACGCACACTTTTATACTTTTTAGTTGATGTTAAAACAAATGACTGTCCTCACAACAAGCTATATAATACTAATTTAATAAGATGGCAATTGGTAGCTTAGCTGTGCGGTTTTTTTGACAGTGTTTTCGTTAACTATGAAGCGTACTCAGAGTACGCATACTAAAATAAGTTCTTTCTTATGAACAGGAAGCTTCTTAATTAAAATTTGGAATACAGCCACGTTTCATTATAACCCTAGGCTTAAATGACGAAGGCGAGACGCCCTTTCAAAGTATTTTCCTCAATACACGGACGCCTAAGCGAAGTTTTGTATAATTCACGAATTTTATTTTCACAAAATGAGATATGTGACGGAGGCGTAATTGCTCCCGTTCCTCACACGGTCTCCGTTGAAAAATTCTTTTGATTTTTCTCTCGTTAAAGGGAGCGGAGGAAAATTGTCCGCCTTTAAGATACAATTTCTGCGTTCTTATTTACCCATTCGGGTTTTTGGTATGTTATTTCTTATGAAACATGGTTCTCATTAGCTGCCTGTCTATTTTATGTTTCGTGTATAATATTGTCATTTCTACTTTCTAAGCGATTTTACTTCTTACTCGCTGTGTCAGCGACTTCGTCCGCGTAGAATTTATTTTGGGCATAAAATATGTATTTGTAAACCTCCTCATCTTTAAATAATAGTTGGTAACCAACTACGACGTCCGCGTTCCGTCGGTTTTTACTAGTTAGTCATAAAAGACATACCTATATTGTTAGGGATATTTTTAGATCATTAATTCATACATTCTTCACTTATGTATGGGTATCTTGAACGGTTTTCGCAGCGCACGCACAGAAACCCTTAAAGATTAATCATTTTCCCTGTTTCTTGCACCTTTTCCATTGCGTTTTCGCTACCATTTTTCGCATCGTGATATTTTATAGCCTAAAGCCTTTCCCGATAATTGTTCGTTGGAACACAAAAAGATTTGTTGAAAAGGATTGTCGGTTACAACATAAAAAGATTATTTAATTCGAAGCAGTTGTTCCTGAGTTTGGCGCGTTCAAATAAACAAACTCTTTAGCTTTATATATATAGGTAAATATAGATAAACGTAAAATGTGTAAGGCTTTCAAGGCCATTGTTCAGCATATCATTGTCTTTCGGGCTGTTCGGCCGATGTGAGCGAGAATTAGGAATTAAGTTATTAATTCTTCGAACAATCCAGGTGTCAACATTTCCTGACGATGCCGTCCACACGTGATGGCGACGAGAACCTCTTCTCGCTCACATCGGCCGAACCGCCCGAAAGACAATGATATGATAGATAAACGTGTTTTCAAACATTAGTGTACATCAATTTAATAAACGTTTCGCCTAGCATTAAGTTTGGTCACAGATAAAAATCCCAAACTAAGCACGCTAATTTCAGATGGACAGAGTACAATGATCGATTAGATGAACTTTTTGGCTTCAAATGTAATCGATAAGTAAAACGAATGCTGAAATATCTACCCCACTCGTGAAAATCGTATTTCAAAACTTTTATACCAAATTTTTAGAGTTTAGTGTGGTTTCGTGGTATGAAAGACTATTATCTTAAATGCAAAAGTTTAATGAGTTCTATTTTACAATGAAAAACTTTCGCTGAAAGAAGAAGTAGTCAAAGAAGTTCTTAATGAATTCAAAAGAACTTAAATGGTTTTAATTAGCACGGAATGAGTCGAAGCACAAACAGGTGCTTGCGAAGAATTTAACCTACATTTACATCAGGATCTTTACAAGCAAAACAAGACAGATACAGGCGTCTACTATACAGTAAGATGTTATAGTCTATGGCCAACTCATCGTAGAAATCATAACAGGACATTACCGTCTAAATAGATATCTTACAATGATAGGAATAGGTAGCGACCCCCTATGTCGGGAGTGCAGAGCAATTGAGGAAACAAGCATCCCACTGAATGCTCTGCGTACTCGAGGCTAATATATTATTAAATAAGAACAATAAAATATATGATTGTAATAAAACTTACCTAAATAAGGAAACACACTAGTTTCGTCGTCAGCGAACCACTCAGTCGCTGCGACCCGTTCAGCGCAGTGCGACGGCACCACGCAGCGGAGTATGGCTGCGTTGCCAGACATCACGTACTCATCAGACACATGCACTTCCCACGGGACGTTTAATACTGAAAAGGGTTTATATAATGAAAAACGCCGCCGGACTCGAATTAACGACCCGCAGCGTGCTGTTGTTGTAAAAATGTACTTGGTTATTTAAAAAAAATCTTATTATCTTATTAACGGGAGGAGGGCCCAAAAGCGTCCGAAACATCGCGCTGCAGTTTAAACTATTTTCTAATAAATTTAAGTTAAGACAATTCGCGTTTTAAACCGTTCAAGTGCCTTATTTAAACGTGTAGGTACTCGTAAAATACAGACAGCATTTGAACTAAGTTATGTTACACATGAGATCTTGTATAAATCTTGAATAGAAATACTGTCTGTAGAAGTAGTACACATTTGAGTAAAACACTTTAACGGTTCGGTACGCGATATATATTAGTTAAACTTATTTGAAAGTTATTGTAACTACGGCCCAACGTTTCGGTTGATTTGCAGCAGTCATGGTCACGGGTGGACTGATATTTTCAAATAAGTTCAACTAATATATATCGCGTTTTAAACCGTTAAAGTGTTAAAAATAATTATAATGTTTCTCTTATATGTTATATTCCATTGATAGTATTAAATCTTTGTTGATAAGAATTCAACTCGTAGACATTGAAAACATTTACAAACAAAGAAACTTCGTTCCTAACTTTGAAACAATACAGCGGTTTCATCTCCATTATTCGGATAACTTTTTAGTGGCTTTGTTTAAAAGTATTTTTATTATACGACTCAGGAGTATATTTATAAAATAGTTCATTATTATAGAAGAACAGATAGTACAATAAGTTTTAATTTGTTTACTCATGAAATATAGTTCTATACTAACATATAAAGATGAAAGTTTGTTTGTTTGAACGCGCTAATCTAATGAACAACTGGTTCGATTTGATTTTTTTGTGTTAGTTAGAGCATTTATTGAGGAAAGTATCGTGATGTAATAGTTTAGGCTATGTAAAACGACCATTAGAACCGAATATACAGTGGTAAATGTGGAATTAACGGGGAAAATTATTCTTCTCATATCTTTAATTGTTTCCGTTCCTTAAGCTGTGAAAACGGTTTATTCCTCTCTATGATCAAAAAAAAATACGCGACACGTTATGATTATCTTATAAGATTAACTTGCTAGAACGACGGCTGTCCCGTCGTTCTAGCAAGTCCGTCCCGACGAATTTGGAATCTGTAATTACCTTTCAAATACGTTCTACGCGGACTAAGTCACGGACACAGCTAGTTTAGTATAAATTACTCGAAGACTTAATTACGTCTCTCTGCCTTTTATTTTTCGAAATACTTATTTACCAACACGCAACAGATCGGATTTAAACAGAAATGAAATAAGGAACAAGCCATTCATCGGATTATATTTATATTTGATGACGTAAAACCTTTTTAATACTCTTATGCCTTTTGTAAAATTTAATGGAATTATAGATAAAGAGAAATTTTTAAATAATATATCAATTATATGAAAAAGGCATTCACTGAAATGAAAACTTTAAATAGGCTTATTTATTAAGTTTAACTTTTAAGTGGTTGAAAAGTTTTCTTCCTTACTTTATAAGTTAGATCCTCTTCAAATACTTAATATTTGTAATATAATTAATGTTGTAATACGGATGCAGACAACGGTAAAAAATCCGTCCGTGAAACAGATGTAGAAAAACAATTAGTGGATGGAACCTAAGGCGTCCAAAGTTTAGGCGAGTAGTACACATTTAAATAAGACACTTTTAACTGTTTAAAACGGGAGATATATTTGTTAGCTTAACTTTACCTTATTGCACTAACACTTTTAACGGTTTAAAACAATACATTTATTAATTATTTACGCTGTAAACCGTTAAAAGTGTTTTATTTGGATATTTATTTATGCATTTATATGTCGAAAGGTACTTACATGCATGCACGTGTATATTTTTGGATAGAACAGCGAAGCCGTTCTTAAATTTTACCCTACACCGGTACGAAGCCGTGTGGACATCGCGCCGGAAGCGGTCGGCCGGAAAGGGCGGGAATTCCAGGGAACCGTTGCTGAGCACCCGGCGGAGACCAGCTAGTGACGCCACGGGGGTGTTATCCACTAGTAACCAGTCCAGCTGTAAAATAATTTAGTATAAGTTCTCCACATTTTTTGTTACATGCAATTTGATTAATATTCTACATTATAGATTACATTATAAACGGCAAACTTGTTTTGTTTGGAAATGCCATAACATATCTCCTTAAATGTACAGTGACGTCAAGAAATACACAACTTTTCGCAATTCCATTTCATTCCACAAATTACAGTCGAAATGCTGTATTCACAAGATCACTCAACAAATACCATCTACATTTCAGCGACATCGATTTATTCAATATAAGTCATCCTTAAAATCAAACATTAAAAATGATATTAGACTTAATGTTTAATGTACATTGCTGTTTCAGACTACTGTAGTCTGAAGCAGCGCACACACACACACACGAACTCACACATCTGTTATTTTCCCTTATCTCTATTTGTAACCTGTGGTTTACTGTTATAGCACTGCCAGTTTTCAAGCTGTTGACAACCAAAGCCAAAATAAGTAGACAGCACATCTGGTTGAGATATGGCTGAGATACGGCCTTTCATTAATAAATCAAATACTTGTATGTTATCTTCTAGAATCTTAGAAAATAAAGAATTATGTCGCGCGTCAGTAATCGAAGCTGGGAACTACACTAATTACTAGAGCATCTAAATGCAACAAGATTGAAAAGGATAATTTCCAGTTCTTATTATACTCGGTTAGCAATGCACAACTTAATTATAGTCAAGTCCCGTTTCTAGTGCACCTCTATGCAGGCATATCGATGGTATACCCATCAATAGAGAGGAATTTCATTCATAGATCTACAATCAGTAATTACTTACGAGGAAAAAGGTTAAATTATTTATATTACATTAAAATAGAGGATAATATTACATAAAAGCTAGAGAACCGCTTTGCAATAGGGATTGTGGACAATCAAGACTATATTTTATATGAAGATGACTTAGTACAAATTTCGGGCTGGCTGAGAACAATAGCTGTATGTAATAGTGTAATCGTATAGGTCGAAGATAGTTGGAGAAGGCTTTTAGCCAGCAAGAGATTTAGAAAGAGTACAGAGAGTAGAGAGGTAACACTAAAACAAAATTCAGTTTTGAAGCTAACCAACTAAAACGTACCTTTCTTAATCGGTAACTGTTATATCACAAATTGTATATATAAATAATTATTATTTATTTAGAATACATTTTGACCACCTCTGTAGCGAAATGGTTAAACGTATTGCCTAGCATTGCGTTACGCGCGAGAGGTTCTGTGTTCGAATCTTAGGGAAACAAAAAGATGTTTTCGGGCAGGGCAACAGAAGTCTGAACAACTACTTACACCTTTACCTGTTATAAACGAATCAGTGAAACGGACACAGTTCGCCCCATGCCCCACGACGGGGAAACGTATTTCACACACATAATATATTTTTCTTTAATACCTAAATAGCATTAAGAGACTACTTAAATCGTTACATATAATGCTTAACTCAAGTTTGATATAGTGCATAATATTTTGTCTGCTTAGGAATTAAAATAAAAAAATATTTAATTGATGGGTGGTTGTAATAATATTTTTCTGAGGTACTGTTAATGTATACTCATATTATAAAGCTGAATATTTTGTTTGTTTGAATGCCCTAATCTCAGAAACTACTGGTTTGAATTGGAAAAAATAATTTGTGGGTCTTTGTTAGAAACAGAGGAAAATGTGGAAAAATACAGGGGAAACAATTCATCTCAAAGATTTGCAGCAGCCGTGGACACGGGGAGACAACTGCCGCTGGAAAATATCCGAAACGTCGGGCCGAAGTTAAAAATCATTTTCAAATAAGTCTAACTAATATATCGCGTTTTAAGCCGTTAAGGTGTTTTATTTAAATGTGTACTACTCGCGTAAACTAGAGACAGTGTTTACATACATAGTTCTTCAATTGTTGGTGTACGGAATTTGTAGCCTACGATATTTTGTTGCGCAAAATTGCACATATGGAGACATTTCAATTTATCAAAACATACGTCTGGCGCCCTCTAGCTCTATATAATAGGAATCAATAGAAACTTGTATCCCACGTGGACATAAGCCAGACTACACTACCTCATAAATGAATATTAAAAAAGTTGTTGATATGTAGCGTTTCTCGTGACAGTACGTACACTGTAAGCCGTTATTTATAATCCTTCGGGGAATATTCGGCAATGTTATAAGCCCCGAAATTCCGTTCCCTCGCGAGCTTTTTACATCCGATGTCTTTTTCTACCGTTTATCCTCTCATGGAATTAACTTAATATTTCACGAGTTATTTTAAAAATAGACGAACGAAAATATTCATAAAGGAACTTTAAGTAACCGGTTACTACAGTAAATACTGTCTTTTGTTTACGCGGGTAGTACACGTTTAAATAAAACACTTTAACGGTTTAAAACGCGATATATATTCGTTAAACTTATTTGAAAATAATTTTAATAATCGTCCGACGTTTTGGATGCTTTGCAGCAGCCGTGGTCACGGGGAGACTAAAGGTGGAGGGTGTCTCTATCGTTAAAGTACAAACTGCTACGCTAACGCCATCTGTTTCGTCAAATACCACCTGCCGCGACAGGCCATAGTTAAAATAAATTTCAAACTAACTAGTGACTTATTTACATCGCGTTTTAAACCGTTAGCGTTCAGTTTAAGCGGTTACTACAGTGTTTTTTGCGTATTCTTTTACGTGAAAAATTTTTTGACACGAAATAAAATTCGTAACTCCTAAGCACGTCGCGCAATGATCAATATGCAAGTTCTTAATTAATTAAAACGTTACTCGCAGCGGGTGGCTCATTTTTGCGTTTGTTAATTATTTGGCGTTTCTGTCATTGTTTTCTTGTCCCACATTTCTATCTAGGCCATTGTGGAAATGTGAATTTTTAAAGAAGATTATAATTTCTCGAATTTCTTACCCGTGACAGTGATTAAAGCAAAGGTCGAACAATGAATATTTATTTTAGAGCTTTGTATGTTATGCAAAACTCTTTTACTTATAAATAATAAGCTTTTATATTAAAAACGGAATGTGAAAAGCCTCCTAGATTATGAACATTCTTGTTTTACTACATATAGGCTCTTTATCATAAAATATAATCCCGTTTCCCTCGTGGAGGCATGGGACAAACACATACACATTCGTGTTAGCGTATTAAACACATTCGTTTATTAAATACTGTCTATAGTTTACGCGAGTAGTACACATTTAAATAAAACACTTTAACGGTTTAAAACGCGATGTATTAGTTAAACTTATTTGATCTCCCCGTGACCACGGCTGCTGCAAAGCATCCGAAACGTCGGGCCGAAGTTAAAAATCATTTTCAAATAAGTTTAACTAATATATCGCGTTTTAAACCGTTAAAGTGTTTTATTTAAATATTCGTTTATTTTTTATATTAATAGTTTACTAAAATTAATCATTAAACGAAATAAACAGGAAAGTAGTTGTGACTTTTTTCCCCATTACTTCTAACATAAAGTATTACAAATATTTAAAATAAAATTTCTTGCTATTAAAATAAATGAACACAACATATTTTTATCGGATTTTGATCGGATGCGCACAGAAAATTGATTAACTACTTCCCAATATTTAGTTTAATGGGACTCATTTAATAAATTACTGCGTTTAAAACGCAAACATGAATCGCAAGGGCGTAGTAGAGATTTAATTAAGTTTTTTTTATGATAGAAGAGGACAGACAAACATGGGGTTCCCTCGATGTGGAGTGAAAAAGTCATATGACAGCTACACGAGGTGCGATGTCGACCTATTTTGGCTTTATTCGGAAATTCACGGCTTTTTCCTCTGTGGACGGTGGTTCGTGACCGGGCTTAACCGATGTTTCTACCACTCATTTGACATCCAATTATTCAGATGTTTCAGAAAAATTATAAATTGAAAAATTAAAAACATATTGGACCCGATGGGGATTGAACCAACGATCCATTGATTACAACCATTAGATCAACGAGCCCGACAAAGGGAAGTAAAATGGATGGAATTTATATACGTTTTAAACTGTTAAAAAGTATTTCATAAAGTTCAATTCAGATTATTAATACAGACAACTGTGCCTCACGGCCCACACAGGGATAATGCAAGTTAACACTTTATACCGAGTTCCATTTTCGAATTATTCTGCTGTAAGTGTGCAATCTTTCGCGGCGAAGTTTGTCGGTGACCGCACCTGCGGTCTCGTCTCCCTCCCCACGTCTGTTCACTATGTTTGTTTGTTCAATTTCCCTCTACGACATATTCATTTCCAATGCCTTACCAATACGTACGTGCTCACGGCCGATATTTATCGACGATGAGATCGTGAAATGGAACAAACATTTCGAAATAGCTTTTGCTATTGGCCCATAATATCGCATAACATATGGATATTTACATGAACTTCTCCTGCATCGTACGATGGAGAATCATGATAATATATAAGATAGAGTATTCATGTATTTATTTTATCATTAAAATACTTTTTAATTGTTCAAAACATGGGCTATATTAGTATGCAACGATTTCAGTATACTGTATATTTTAATTTTGAATTTCGAATTTCCTTAATTCAGTTGGGTTGTTGTATGTATGTATCACAAAATAAATAATTAGAATGTAAATTGGTAATCTCTGCCATAGAATAATTAATTTAATTTTGTATAGTTTTATTAATATTTAAAAAATACCGAAAAAAAAAATTAAAAACTCTTCGGGTGTTTTTTTTATATTGTTTTCTCATAAAGGTACCCCCTTGCACTTATAAAACTTACATCTGATTATTTTTTTCAACTCCAATAACAGTTTAGTCTATCGATCTCAAGAATCGTTGATATCGTAAGGTCACAGTAATAGCATGACTCCCGGCATTTTAAAAACAAAAATTTAGGGTTTTTTTTTTAAATATTGTTAAATAAGATACCACCAATCTATAATTTAAAACACTTTCTCATAATTAGTTACTATTCTCTTTTCCTTCGATAATATTTGAATTTAGAACAACAC